GGGTTACCGAAAAAGAAGATGGTACCACTAACAGCTGTCGGCAACGGCTAGCCTCCCAAGTCCAAGATTTCAGAAATGATTTCAATGACGGCACTTTGATACTTTATGCATCGTTGCCTTGTGTTGGAGGTAGCCCATGGGGGAATGTGAATGGCCTTACTGTTGAGGGTCAAGAAAGAATCAAAGAGCAACAAAAACAGTTTACCAAGTTGTTCAAATCTTTTGTCAAACTTGTGGATGAAGTTTGTGATGAACGAACCTTGATAGCATTTGAACTGTCCAAGAATTGCAAATATTGGAGATGGCCGATGGTTAGAAAATTCCTCATAGAACGATCCATGACTACTCATCACTTTGATGGTTGTATGTTGGGTGTTCTTGGAAACAACGGTCAACCAATGAAGAAAAGTTGGACTATTGCAGGAAACTTCAAAGAACTCGAAGTGTTAGACTCATTCAAATGTGATGGCAAACATGAGCATGATCAAAGTAGGGGCCAAGCTCTTAAACTTGCTGAGAACTATACCTTCAAGTTGACTGACATGCTCCATGAGTGTTTCCGGGTAGCTGTGGTGGGCCAAACATCCAAAAGGATTTCACCCGCTGTCATCTCGTGCCTGTCCTGCTAAAATGGCTGACTCGCGATATGCCACAGCACGCCCGGCCAGCCGCGAGGCTGCGCTCGAAGCCACACGTGAGGCTAACAAAGAAGCATGGTTGCTCCTTCACAATCGCATTTTGTTTGCATTGGCCATGCGCAATGAAGGTGAGAATCAGGCTGCTCAGGACCTCGTGGATGGATTGATGACCGAATGGACGCCGGCCTCGGCCCTGAGGTTCTACGGTCGAGAGGATCCGCTTGCAGAATACCTTAGCTTCTGCTTTTTGCCAAAGGAGTCCCACATCGAAAAGATCATGTTGCCAGAGATGCCTGTCAATGAAGTAATCTGGATCTTAGTCTCTGACTCGTCATGTGCACTGATCACAGGGCGTAGGAAAACACTTAAGAAGTTTGACCTGTCCGAGCATTACCGGCAGCGCAAACCTAAGTATGTGACTGAGTTCATCCATGAGATGCTTTGGGGCAAAACTCTGCAGAAGCTGGTCAAGCGTGGGATTGAATTGGCCGCGGACGCCCGCGAGCGCTATCCTGATGCCCGCATCAACCTGCATTTGTCCTGGTTCGGAAATGAATTGGTAGGAGAGGATGGGATTGCCCAAAATCCAAATTGGCCGTACGACGGCCCCAACGGGCACTGGCCCACGATCCTGGATGATTGTGAGCGCCACTTGACATGGTTTGTCAACAAGGCCCGGGAGTTGGATTTGCAGTCGGCCGGTCTCACGACCGCGCCTTGGTCCGCTGACTATGGCATCCATCCTATCTTTGACCAGTTCTTTGATGTATTGGAGCCCAGATTTAAAGCTCTAACCAGCAGCCTGCAAGGGCTTGCCAATCCGAAGTATCCGTGGCTGAAAGCAAAGGGGTACGCCGATGCAATGGAATTCAGAGACCAGTGGCATTTCGCCAACTCTGAAGAAAATCGCACGCGTCTTGCTGCCTATTGGACAGCTACCCTTTTCGCAATTGATTGCGGATGGCGGGTTGGCCGAATTGGTTTGGAGCTTACTCAGTGTGGCCAGGAAACATGGGATGATTTGCGGAGGAACATGAGCGCCGTCCTGGACGAGCTGCCAAGATCCTATCAGGAGACATGTGCAAACATCACCAAGTTGCTTTTTGGAGAGTCCCGAAGACACATCACGCCGACGGGCAGGTCATTCACCAAGGAGGACGTCGAAGCTCAACAACCAGACACTGAGGACTACATCGACACCAAGACGATGCCTTCGGGCACTTTTGCCGAGCCTCCCAAAGATGACCCTCCAAAGGCCGCCGGCGACGGCGAGCCCACTGCACCCAGCAGAGCAACAATCCTGGTCCAAACGGCTGAGGTCATGTTGAAGTCGCGGCCGAAAGCAGCACCAGCCCCAGTGGATGAGCCCGCAGATGACAAGAGAGCCACATCCAGCCAGTACCAGCCGCAGGCAACTGCGCGCTTAGAGGAACATGCATCCGGCCACGTGAAAGCATATTGGATGGAAGAGCATTTGCCTGAATACCAATATACAATGGTGACCAATGCAGACGGGGAAGATGTGCCCGGTATCCTCTTCGAAGGTACGGCTTATGAGCTGGAGCTGATATCGGCATCCGACGTTGAGACCATTGCTGGCCAGACTCGTGTCGACAAGAAATTTTCCGATTTTGCAACTCGTGTCAACAAAGTTTGCAGGGGGCATGGATCCTGTGCCAAGGTGCCAATGGACAAAGACCTTTGGATTGACTTGGAGGATTTTGCCAAAGCCTTCCGCAAGGAAGTGCCCCCAGATGTTTTCATCACTGTTGCAAACCTGTTTGGCACCGCAATGAAGATCGACAAGCATGGCAAGAGTAGGTTCCAATTCTTGTGTGCAAAGATCTCCCATTTTCCTGTCGACAATGGCCTAGGCATGCCGTATTATCCTGTGAAAATCCGTGCAATTCAGGGTCACTCCGAAGCTGCCTTGAAAACCGCAGGGGGTCTTTATGCCAATTCAACCATGGTGTATTGCTCAAACCAAGTATCCCCCGAGCGAAAAGCCGCCTTCACTGGCGTGCCCTTGTGTGCCATGACTGAGGTCCCTGAGGTTGTCTTCCATCGCACGATGAGAAGCAGCTGGAAGAGCATCGCACAGAACGGCCTGATCCCAGGCGGCGGTGACACAGTCAACAGTGGCCGTGCTCATATCTACATGGCAGAACACTGTATCGGCACACAGGGATATCGATCTGGATTAAGAGCAAAATGTCCAGTCGAAGTCAAAATCGCAATGCGGCAAGCAGTTGAAGCTGGTGTCATCTTTAGTCGCACAGAAATGGATGGTATTTTGTGTTCAGAACGCATCCCACCGCAGTTTCTGGTCAGCATCTCAGAAGAAGGACAGGTGCTTTGGTCCCGCGCCGAGAGCAATCTCGAGCCCAGCTCATGGACAGGCGCGGAATCAGCCTCAGCACCGAAATCCAAAGCGGTCACCCTGACTGCCCGAGATGATGCAAATGACGACCCAATGGATGACACCAGCACGGGGCGACCCGATGCCAAGTCCACTGATGATGATGCAGCCACTGCCCCAATGCAAGTTGACCAGCCGCCCGCAAGGACGCGCCGTGTTTACATTGCACCCAAGTACTGTGAACCTTTCATGGGCTCCTGCCCCCTCTGCCAGGTTGAGTACGTCAGTGGCCAAGTGACATGCACCACATGTGGATATGAGCCACTCCCAGTGGACGAAAGTGGCGATACAAAAGAGGCCGACAAACCCAACAGGAGGACCCGCATCCTTGAACGGCGAATGCAGAGTCTCGCCGGTTTCGGAATGTTTGGAAAAATGAGCGGAAGCTTGCTGACAGCCTTGACGGATGAGCAAGCCAATCTGCTTCGCCGGGAACTGGGCCCCAGGGGAATCACATCCGTGGAATCAGCAGTCCTCAAAGACTGCCGCGACAGGCATCGACGTGCAAAAGCGCTGGGCTACGAGGACGTGGAAGACAGATACGCCAGCGACGTCACTTTTTGCGACCGCATCCACGGTGAGGGGAAGGACCTGCAGGACTGCATCTTTGATGACATGTTCGCATACGGCAACCTCCCCGATCCCCCAAGGACCAAAGCTCAGATCTCGGCTGGCGTCGCCGCCAATGCCCAAAATGAAAACTGCTTATCTAAGTTGATTTTCATGTCCCAGCCTCGAGGTGTTGATGGTTTCCCAGTTGAGTTCCGCAAAACATGGAAGAAGGTCTGGGGTTTCATGTTCGGCCGCCACATTTTTACAGAGGATGAATATGTCAGCTACATCGGTCGTCGTGGCGCATTCCGTGGCCTGCTGACCTGGAAGGGCACTGTCCAAGTTCCTTTTGATGGCACTCTTTAATTCCTCGAAAAGGTGTATGAGGAAAACCTTCCATTGGTTCGGGGCAACCTTGAACGCAAAGAGAAGCAGAGCGCCGCTGCAAAGGCTGGAGGTCCTGGAGGTCAAAAGGCCGACCCCACGGTCGCGCCCACCACAGAGCGAAAGCGCAAAGCCGAAGCTGATGCATCCGTCACTACACATGATGACACTGCCGCCTCAAGCTCTGCTCGCGCAGACGCCTCGCACGCTGATGCCCCAGTTGATCCCAACAATGCACCATTTCTTGCACCCGAACCACCAACATCCAAAGCAGGAGCACGACCATTCTTGGAGCCTGAGACGCTGCCTACTGCAAAAGCAGCAAGCACAACCACATCGAAGGCTGCAAGCTCCGGTCGCCCGGATGCCTCCTGGAGTTGGAATCGTGATCACTATGGTGCACGCCGAGAATGGAGTTTCTGGCGTGGGGCTTGGTATTACCGTGATGAGGCCGGCGGCCGTTGGATCTATTGGAACCGCAGGTAGACGATGATTTTCTTTTGTAGCATAGCGCAAGATGTGGCATGGTAATGTGCCTTCCTTGCATAGCTGCGCTGGGTTTTACGGGCTTGAGCTTTTTAGAGGGACCTTTGAAAGACTGCATAAAAATGATTAAAACCAACTAAAGAAATTTGGCTACCCGCGAGGGTATGCTTTTCTGGGTTATTCGTTCTCCGCAGTCGTCCCTGCTCGCCCGAGGGGGGTGTAAAAACTCCTGCAGTAAAACCATGTATCATATAGGTCATCGTACTATCCTGTAGCGTTGGTTCAAAAGGACTGAGAGCTGAACGGATTGTGGTTTAGCCCCATTATAGTTTATACTATATTGTTGGCTGACCTGTGAATATACACAATTCTTAATGGGCAAATCATCTATTTCAATGGCCATGTTCAATAGTTATGTAACAAATTACCAGAGGGTAAATCCCCTTAAAAGGTCCATTAAGATCCCATTAAAAGTCCACTAAAGCCAACACCTTTCCCCCTGCACCGCCGAAGCCGGCAAGGCGAGCACGGCGCGCGGCTCTCCAGCGACGTCTTGGATGAGTTGAAGACCATCTCCAGCAGCAAGGCGCCACGGCAACGAGTGGAGGGCTTCCATTGGATGGTTATTAGTGGATGATAAGTTGGTGAACATAACTCCAATAACTATAGTTTTTATAGGTGATATATGGATGTTTAATGGGATTTTCATGGGTGAATAGTGGTTAGTAATGTCAACCCTGGATTAATAAACCCCAAACGGCTGTTTAATTGGGATGGTACCATTTAAGTATCAGATGAAATGACTATTGGAGGAGTACCCCCCTAATCAATAAACCATGGTTTATTAATCCGGGGTTGACATGAATGGTTAATAGTGGTTCATATAACCATCAGCTAACATCTGGATAGTATATTTAATGGATTTTTAATGAGATTTAATGGACTTTTAATGGGTTCTTAATGGAATTGTTAATGGGATTTACCCTCTGGTAATTTGTTACATAACTATTGAACATGGCCATTGAAATAGATGATTTGCCCAGCTATAAAATGGTGATTATCCATAGTTATGTAAACGTTTACCAGAAGGTACCTCATTTCTTTGGATTTTCATGCAATAATAAGATGTGTTTTTTTGGATCTAGCACTTTACCAGGGAAAATGCTGGCATAATGGGATACAGTAGAGATATATAATACTATAATTAGTACTGAGATTGTGTGTGTGTGTGTTATTTATTTTTTCAAATTGGGATTTAACCATGATCATTCCTGCACCACCAGCATTCAATTGCGCCTGGTTAAAGAAAACCACCAAGTCCGGGAGCCACACAGATCGCCAGCTCCCGGTTGCTGATCTTCCCTTTCCTTTCAATGGTATGGGCAAAGGTCGAGAAGAATCGCTTGTCACAGTGTCACGGCCCAGGGGTTTTGCGCTGAAAAATTGTGGTTCAAGCAGCAGAACTGCCGGGAACTTGTTTTCTGTGCATGAAAAATATGATTGTTCATGGGATTTGAATAGGATTGATTTTTACCAAAATGGTTTCACCAAGACACATGGTGGTATAATGGTTATCTTTACCCTCTGGTAATATGTTTCAGCTTGCAATGGAACATACCGCTATGTTTAACAACTAAATCATCTTATAAATGGGCAGTTGTCCATTGTTAACATAATATGATTCAATCACCAAACATGGTTGTTATTGTATTATTGATTATATAATGGCATATAATTACTATATATCAATCATCAACTTGACTTTAACCAACAAACTTATGACTATGATTATTCACAAATCCAATTACAATTCATCGAGAGGTTAGTAATTCTAGATCATGATGATAATGTATCAAGATTATTGAGAGGTAGTGGCCTTATTTTAACAATCCAGAGACGCAAAAACTTCAGCTATACCTTGCTTCGCAGCAGGTACGCGGTGCACTAGAAGATATCCTCCAGCCATTGATTCTGAAGGACGGGACGATCATCCCAAAAGATAGAGAAGTGGTTCCTGTAGGATGGTAGTCCGATGGTGTTTCCTCCATATTTTCCAGGCGTTGATGTTTTTTAATATTTTTGTCGGGTTCTTCGATATAGATGAAACAGTGGTCCTCTCACAGTTTTAAATTTTGAAGGCTGGCGCGAATTTTAGTTGGATCACGTTTCGATAGTTGGACAGTGACTGATTTAGTGGTTAACTCCCGCAGCGATTTGGGAATGGATCAAAAATAATTGGGCACCAAAGGACCCACAGGATGGTGCATTTTGGGTGAAGCGCCAAGCAGAAAGTTACATAAAGCCATATAATACATCATGATACCGTAGATACCCCAATATTTTCTATTATCCTATATAATCCTATATATATACACATAAGCTATAGACAAGTATATAAAACTTGTAACCCTCTTACCTCCTAGTAATTGTCAACATTGTCCATTATTCTCCATTACTATCCCAGATAAGTTTCGCCGTTTGCCAGGACAAACGCCTACGGTGTCCTTTGTGGATCTGGGTTCAGTTGGGCTCCGTTCAAGCCAGCGAGGCCAGGCGAACACGGAGCCATAAAAGATGTGGTGGTGACTCAAACAAGTATTCAAATATACATCCAAATACCACAGTTTAAACAACTAATTCCTGATGAATTTAAATTTTCCCATTTTGTGTGTCCATTTTTATGGGCTACAGCATCGCAAAATGGCTGTTTCAACAGGAAAAATGGTGATGAATCAGCGGATGGTATGGCCTCTCTCTTGGACAAGCGTTTACCCAGTCGTTTGACTTTAACCCTCTTGACTTGCTAACCTGGACAGAAGACCCTCCCCCAAAAATGCTATACATACCCCAAACTGCCATATGTTACTAAGGAGAATGATGATTAACCATGATAAACCATCAAATTTGAAAGGTTTTTCCGGTTTTTCGATGTTTTTCGAACAATTCAGGTACCAAAACCCATTGCCAATCTTAGATACCTTGCACAAAATACTAGATTGTCAGCCGGTTGGCTATTCCTATAGCAACATATTGATTTAGGATCAACAACTACCCAACCAGGTGGTTGACCCAGTAATCACCAGTACATTTAGGAGTTTCTATAAATGGTGGTACTCCAAAATGGATGGTTTAGAAGGGAAAATCCTATATACAAAAATGGACGATTTAGGGGTACCACCATTTTAGGAAACCTCCATTTCTATTGACATCGAATAGGGGTAAACTTTTGATTACATCGAATATGTATTGTGGAGCAGCAAGGACCAAGTACCAAACACACATCAGCTTTGAGATGTGCAATATCTTGCGATGAACTAGTCAGATGGATTTGGGGTCTTTGGGTACTGGCTTTTTGGGTTTGGTGATGGAAGCATTTGGAAGCTGCTTTTGGAGGGGAAGTGGTGGGCAGTACCCCAATGCATGAAATGTACGTGATGCTGGTCCCACAGCACCTATGATCCCAGATAATTCTTCTTTGAAATTCTTTGAAGAGCATGTTGTAAAAAAGAACAGAGTTGAAACACGAAACAATGCGATTTCTTGCGAAATAGAGGTCACACCTTACCAGAGTGTTCATTCAAGTCTGCAACTTCAATTCTTGAAGTCTGGCTGAAACCATTAATCAGCCATTAACCAATATAGATAACCATAGATAACCACAGCCATCAGCCACTAGAGGTGAAACCATGCTGACATGACAGCCACCCTGGATGCTCATGGATCGATGTTGCGGAGCATCCACTGATTTTTTTTGTAGAGATTTCGGGTGTCATTCGAACCTCAAAGTATGAAGAGAAACTCAAAACCCTAAGGCGAATATAGGTCCAATAGGTCATAGAATCATACTAGATTTCTCATAAGACCATATAAAAACCACTAAATTAATCTAAATTAAGTGATGATGGGGCCTAAAACCTGAAGCCTGGAGCAATTTCGTGATGTCCCAGGCTCTGGTGAGGAATGCTTCCCATGACGAGGAGATGGCACCCATGGCACCCAAGAGATGGTCGAGCTGTGAAAACAACTTCGGGGAAGCGGTAACCCACCCAGGTGGTTGACCCAGTAATCACCAGTACATTTGAATAGATGTTTGGGGGTTTCCATAAATGGGGGTACCTTAAAATGGATGGTTTATATGGAAAAACCAATGAAAATGGATGATTCGGGGGTACCCCCATTTCAGAAAACCTCCATATGGGCGAAAGTATCCCAACATATTCCTTTTTTTCTATGGAGATGGGTCAAAAACCATTCAAAACCTGTAAAGTAAAGTATGTCAACTTATAAAAGAAATATGGCAAGAAAATACTCAATTCAATATACAAGAAGAAAAGGCACTCTTTGATCAATTTTCTAGATATATATACCTTATAAAGATCACTTAATAAAAATTGACAATCTATTACTACAAAACCAATTAAATAATATGTTTTATGCTTTCATTTTTTTAAAAGATATGGATAAAAAGATCATGCACTGTCGCATTTTAATAAAGAAAAATAATATTCAAAGCACAAAAATGTATCATAACATTATAAACAATTATCAATACAATCAAGGATTAATTTTTGATTATTCATTTTCCCGAAAAGATCTACGCCTAAACCCATATATAATAGAACAAAATTTAGCTCCTATATTAAACCCCTCTTTTAAAGAGACAATATATATATATATAGAAAAAAAAACTAACTTAAGAATATGCCATGCAAGGGAGCTACTATTATTAAAAAAATACAATTTTGCCTTTAAATTTCTTATTCAAGCTAGCAAAAAATATAACATATATTGACTAATATATAAAAATACATCACTTGGCAGGATTTATGGCACTTGTAAAAATGAAATAATATAATATTTCACTAAAACATTTTTCTTATATAGATGCTATTGCTACATCACCAAATCAAATAAGTAGAAATGGCTATTTTATGTATATGTGCATGCAAAATATGCAAAATCCAAAATATCATGCACTGTCAAAAAATATTGCAAAAAGCTTCAAAATACTGTGCAACTTTTTATGGAATGATAGCAAATGATTTACCCAAGAATTCAAAAATATCTTTACAAAAAAAAACAATTGATATTAATCATGCAAAATTATAAATCAATGGCTTAAACCAAACATTACAAGATGAAATTGAATTTATATCTTACCTAATAAAATATTTTTTTTAAAAAAAAACATATAACCTTGCAGACGTTTTAGTAACTCAACTATTTTGAAATATTACTAAAGATAAATATATATATATAACAATATTTTTGATATATGGACAAGAAAATCAAAATCTGCAAATGATGATTTGTCAATGTGCTTTGGATCGTAATATTGTAATTGCAGATAAACTATTTCCAAACATGTCATTACCTGATGAAATTCCGCTGCAAAGTCATTATTTAACTCATGTACTATATATAAATATACATATGTGTGTATTAATTGTTGTCTTACTGTTGAACCCAGGTACTTAGAGCGATTTTGTCACCAAAAGCGTTTGCAAACGTTTGCAAACGAGTCCAGGGGCCCAAGTACTTAGACTGGCTCAGGATTCAAGATTCAAGATCCAAGATCCAAGTTTCAAGATTCAAGGTTCAAGATTCAAGAAAAACTTCTTGAATCCCGGGCCTAGGATCAGGAGAGTTTCTGGATTCAAGAAGTTTTTCTTGAATCTTGAACCTTGAATCTTGAAACTTGGATCTTGGATCTTGAATCTTGAATCTTGAATCCTGAGCCAGTCTAAGTACTTGGGCCCCTGGACTCGTTTGCAAACGTTTGCAAACACTTTTGGTGACAAAATCGCTCTAAGTACCTGGGTTCAACAGTAAGACAACAATTAATACACACATATGTATATACATATACACATATATATATATATATATGGTACCCCCCACTGGAACTCAAACTGAACAAGGTAATTTGTCCCAAAAGCGTTGCGACCTCAAAAACGTCGGTTTTGGGGGGATACCATATGTATATATATATATATATTATATTATATTTATAATGTTACATTTTTGTTCTGTCTTTGTTGCTGCCGCTAGAGTGTCATTAGGCAATCATAGTCGCATCTTCTACGATTTTTGTGCTTGGTTGCGTGGCAGCGGTTCTGGGTTGAGGCCGGTTGAGGTTCAAAATTCATGACTCGCCTTCTTAAACGATTTAACACTATCATGCAAACTGTAGAACAATTTTACATGTTTGAAACATCACTGAGATAATTTCAACAAACTTCTGGGAAGCTGCAGCCACATAAGAATAATCATCATCATAATAAAAATAGTAATGATAATAATTAAAATAAAAAAATAATGATAATAATCATATATATATATACACCCGTATTGTGTTTATATATATATATATACACATAATGTCTCTATATATATATGTGATTATATGTATATATGTATATGTATGCACAGGATTGAAGAGGTAACGGTTCCAGCATTGCCGAACTGTTCAGGTTTAAATACCGTAGAAGGATTTGTTTATTTTTGAAGTCGAGTAAAATAACGTAGGCAGTTTTATTGCCATTTCTTATGTGTTTGATTTGTGTGATAAGTGTGATCATGGCTGGTTTTTGTATGCTGCCCTCCAGTCATAGGTTGGCTTATCTCCTGTTGGACTTAAAGACCCGCTTACCTATGGCTTGGGGCCTCGCATTTGAGTCTTTCTTGGATGTGCATCCCAGGCATCATAAGTGGTTTAGAAACCATATATATATATATATTACATATATGCATGGTGAAATATGAGGTATTTACTCTATTGATACCCGAGTCATATATTCCAGGTGTATCCCAGTTGTATATTTCGGTAGTGAGAATGTGGTTAGTAAGTTTTATACCCTTTGGTAATTTACAGTAACAGTTTGGATAATCCCAAATGATCATCCCATCAATACTTTAACCATAAACCATAGTTAACCTAGTCGTAGACCGTAGCTATATATAATTACTTAAATTACTGGAGCATAATCATGAATCATCATTGATCATCATTAGAAATTGGTTTATAAATCATAGTCAAACTAGATAGAAACGACCTTAGCAATCAAAATCCCAGTAAATCCCATCAAAACACCATTAAACCCCATTAAGTCATCATTAAACCCCATTAAACCCCATTAAATCGTCGTTGGATCACACCAAATCCGTTCAATTCACCATTAAATCACCATTGAATCCCCTGGAATGACCCTGGGCCAGGAGATCGACATTGATGTCCTGGTGGGGCTCCAACGTTGTCGCGGCCCCACGGTGGACAAGGCCAGGCGGCCATGGGGAAATTCTCGGGGCGGATCTGGATGGGTTTTATAAGGAGTTTCACGGTGGTTTATGCATGAAACATGGTGATTTCCAAGGGGTTAACTATCAAAAATGATGATTTATATGCGGGTTTAGTATGGTTTAGTGGGAATTAAATTGTGTTTTAATGGATCTTGGATGAAAATGGAATTTCACCCAGAAAAAATCGAGGGTTGAACTAGAAAGATCTAGACAGATTGGTGGTTTCAAAAGCAACCATGATTCTTTAAGCAGCAAAATTAGTGGGATTTATTATAACCAACAAAACTGTGACTTAACCAGCAGCAATGTGGGTATTTCATGGGTATAACTACGGTATAACCTATGAATCTGATAAAAAAACCTAGCGACCTCATGTCGCGACATCTCAGGTTAGTGATGGATGCCGGGACTTGACTATGAAATACCATGAAGAACTGGGACATTTTGCCAACTGGAAAGAAATACCATCTGGTTATTTAACATAGCCATGGAAAATGACCCATTTATAGATGGTTTACCTATTAAAAATGGTGATTTTCCATGGCTATGTTAAATAACCAGATGGTAAATCATCAAACAATCATCAATTGTCATCAATGTATGTTTTGAGCCCACAAGAAAGAGATACTGGTCGTATTTTTCAATATTTTTCGATCATGTCCTTTTTTTCCGACATATGGGAAGTGGCCAACAAACGAGTCTACCGTCGCAAACTTGGGATTTGACCGTTCTGAGGTTTGAAACGGATGACCAAGGCAGATGTCCAGAATTTACCGTTTGAATTCTTGCGCAAATTCCAACGTGACTAGAATTATAGGGTGATCCACTTCTTGATTGATATAGAAATCTAGACTTTGGAATGTCCAACGTAATTTTGGCAGAATGACAGAGTTTCCCATGTCTTGATTGATATAGAAATCTCACACGTTTAAATTGATAGAATGATACGGAGCTGATGTTTTTTGTCGTTTGATATTCCCACGTTCCCGATCAGGTAGCTAATGCTGGTAGCCACACCACCAGTTTTGTCACCTTTATTATTTGATAAGAAAGTAAATTATAGCGACCTCACCGCGACATCACTGTAATTAAGGCCTAGTATAGAGCATCTATCCCACAAGGACCTTAATTGAGTTTCGTGAATTATTGTAATGTAATTTATCCAGATATTGATATAGGATTATTATAGGATGAACTAGCAAGTGGGCTTGCCTCAGACTTCGGAACCCATTCCTTCTCATGGTCGAAGCCTTGATTTTCCTACTTAAAGGCTACATCGCCTACTTTCTTCTGTGTAAATTTACCATATGCTGAAACAACAACACCATCGCATTCTATCAAGTCATCAATCATCAATCCCATTTTACCCTCTGGTAATTTAGCATAGCTATTGAAAATGGCCATTTAAAGTGAGTTTTCCCAGCTATAAAATGGTGATGTTCCATAGTTATGTAAGTAAACGTTTACCAGGCCGGGTAACATGTCAACATCTTGAAATGACGAATTTTCCCCCACGAAAACAGGGTTGCCCCTTTCCCCACGGAGTTCAGGAGCAGATCTCCAACCTGCTGCAGGATCCGGGGAACAACCATGGACCATACCATGATTTCACTGGGACCCATGGGTAAAAATGAGGGACACCATGATTTCACCACGAATGAAATGGGGATATGTTTTGACCTGCGACATGGGGTATGGCATGTGTTCAGACCTTAACTGAATGGTTTGATACTAACTATGCACTCGGCAATATCGTACATGCGAACATTGACTAGCCTGCCAACAAAACGGGTATCTAAGATTGATTTTGAACAAAGGGAAACAATTGGGTCTTAGAGTCTTTATCCAGTAATGGGACCGTTGAGTCGATCTTCGGTATCTAAGACGAGGCGTGCATGAAGAGATCCATTGTGATGGTTACAATCAACGAAGCTTTGCACCCCAACAGCAGAAGGGTTCCAGGGTTCCAGGGTTCCAGGTTTCCGCTTCCGTTCCGGTTTTTGGGCTTGAGAAGGCTTTTGTCATATCCCCCATTCTCACAGTCGTGAACCAAGTAATCTTGTCAGGTTGGGTAGCTCTTAGGCCTAAATTGAAAACATGAGAAAAACAATCATTGGCTATAGTGTTATTCCCTACTCATTATAACTACGTATATTCCTTCCATGCCATGGTCCTATCAGAAAATCCTCCATCATGACCACTATTAACCACAAATCAACATGATCAACCAGGATAAAGTCAGAGTTAAACACCATCTTAAACCTCAAAACCACTGTATCAAACTTGAATAATTAGCAATTATTAACAATGATGAATCATTACGATCCCCTCATAACCCAACTATAATCCTATCAAAATACCATATCATTTGTTTCGGTTGGGTAATTGTTTGAACTTTAAAGCAACATTATAAACTCCATTGGCTATAATTATTAACCATAATCACCTGTAGTCGACCATGATTGCCCATCATCAACCGTCAACCATCATCAACACTTATTGACCCTTATTGCATCACCACGCTTAACCACTATGAACCATTATTAATATTTATTTACAATTATTAACCATCATCAGCCGTCATGAACTATTATTCACTATAATTAACCATTCTTTATTAACCATATCAATCATACTATCAACTATTAGTAATCAACCGTTTATGATTAACATTTGCTTTTATAACCAATATGATTCGTAAACAACATGTTTTATGACCATTATAATTAACCAATGGTTTATAATCAACCATTATTGACCATTATTAACAATCATTAAGCATCATTGAGCCACTATTAACCATTATTAACCCTAGGATTCATCATTATTAACCATTATAATCCATCATACAACCATTGTAATTATATCAATATCTGCATATGATTTCCATTATCATTATTAAGTCACTATCAACCATTGACATTGTGAATAATTATTATCCATCCTACCCTTATTAACCATGAATCATTAACTAACCACTTAACCATGTAACTAATCATTAACCGTTGTTTGCTACCCATTACCCTCTGGTAAACTAACATAGCTATGGAAAATGGCCCATAGAAATAGATGGTTTACCTATTAAAAATGGTGATTTTCTATAGCCATGTTAGTTTACCATTTATATTATTGATATGGAATATTACATGATTATGGTATCAATATTATCAATATTATCAATATTATCAATATTATCAATATTATCAATATTATTATGGTTAATATCAACAATTTCCAAACCCATTATCCCGCCCATTATCCCATTATTTAATGAACTTGTAATGGGATCTTAATGGAATTGTTAATGGGATTTACCCTCTGGTAATTATTATAAATATCACTAATTAGTAATAATCATCCCAGCAATCCCCAGCAACCCATCCATTCCCTACGTTTCGCACCAGTAAGATAATGGTTAACCACTATCAACCATGAACTTTTCATGGGATCTTAATGGAATTGTTAATGGGATTTACCCTCTGGTAGTTATTATCAATATCCCATGATAATCCCATTATAAATATCATAATTATAAATATCATATGATCAATCATTATATCAATATTATCAATAAACAACTGGAAATATCATATTATAATCTTGATAATATGTATATATCCCATTATTTTTTCTGTTCCCCAATAGCTGGGATGATGATCCAATCTGACTTTCATATTTTTCAAGATGGTTAAAAACCACCAACCAGTAATGGTTACCGTCGGGTAAATTAACATAGACCCTGAAAATCACCAATTTATAGTGGAAACTAGTCTTCCAACCCCGACAACTGCCAGGGTCTATGTTAATTTACCAAAGGGTAACCACTATCATCCAGCCACGAACCAGCCACTAATCATCCCATTATAATCCCATTATAATCCCATTTTTCATGGGAAAATTCACTATAAATGGTGATTTTCCATAGCAAACTGTTAGTTTACCAGTCATGGTTAACCACTAACTATAGATATATCCCACTAACTATAGATATATCACCTATAAAAATCATTATTTGATGAATATCATCCCATTATAATCCCATTTTTCATGGGAAAATTCACTCTAAATGGTGATTTTCCATAGTTATGTAAACGTCTACCAGTAATGGTTAACCACTATCATAACTATGGAAAACTATGGAAAACTAATCATTAACTGATAACAAAATGGTTAGTCCATGGTTACCAGTTATGTTAGTTTACCAGTAATGGGATTCTGAAAACAATCATAGTTAGTTAACCATTAGATTAACCCATCCACTATAATCCCATTATAATCCCATTAGATTAGTGGATTATCAATCTAATAACCATCCCATTAATCATCCCATTAACCCATCAATATTAACCCATTATAATCATTATAATCCACTAATCATCCACTAATCATCCACTAATCATCCACTAATCATCCCATTATAAATATCCACCATCAGAATCCCATTTCAGATCGATCTCGCCAGGAGCACCTGGGCGCCGAGGAGTTCCAACGCCTCAGCGCGGCGGCCGCCACGCGGCGCATGCTGCTGGAGCTCCGGGAGGCCACCCCGGAGACAGCGCCGGGGACTTCACCGGCCAACATTTGGTGTTTTTTTTGCACGAAAAATGGTGGTTTTTCACGAGAAAAACTGGAAAAATGCTGGAAAAATGGCAAACATGATGGTTTTTTCACTAACAAATTGTGCTTCAAATAGGAAAAATACTGGTTTAACTAACAAAAATATGGGTTGAACTAGAAAAACATGGCAAGTAAGCTTAGAAGAATAATCATTTAATGTGGTTGAACTGGCAAAAATGATGGCTTGTTCAACCAGCACAATTTTCAGGTTTTCACTTGGAAAAAATGCTTAGCCAAACATGTGGTTTAGCCAAAGAAAATGGGAAAACATGTAGTTTAAACTGTAAGAATTCAATTTTAATGGGACTGGACTGGGATTTTCTCATCCCCAGTGGTCTGTAGTTGTTTGATCGATGAGAATTTTTGGTGTCACCATCAAAAAATTAGGTTGAACTACCAAAAATAAAGGTATCCCCTTAAATCCTCTCCATTATTTTTCATTAATTATACATCATTATCCTTTAACTTACTTATTTTGCTAAATCCCTGTTTTGGTTCATGTGAAAAAATCCCATTTTGGTTGGTTAAATCCTATTCAAATCCCATTGAATTCCTTATTTTCGATGATGAAATCCAATTTTGGTTGGTTCAATCCCATTAAACTGGCTGCGTCAACAATGATGAAATCCATCCAAACCATGACGAGTTCACGGCCAGGCGCATACGGAAGAACGGGAACCTGAGTTGGATCTCATTTTAGAAGCCTTGGCGCAAGGTGCGGTTCCCAGTTACTTTGTGTGGGAAACCATGGACTGGGACACCATTTTTTCATCAGCATATGGAGGTTTCAAACCACCTTAGAACACCATGTTTTTTGTTGTTTTCAACCATAGTAATTAGATAGAAAAAGGGAATGATTGGTTGAGAGATGGCAAACATATGGATACCACTGTCAGATGGATAAGCGACTTCGAAATCAGGGTAAACTCGCCCTTGTTACCTAAGAGGTAAGTAGAAGGTTGGGGTTAGATAACCTTAAGATGAGGCAGAATATTTCAAGCAGCAAGAATTAGTTTATGTCAGTTGTATCGAGCAGCCGAAGAGTGTGTCCTTTTGCTGGCAAGACCACCGATGCCAGCTGGGTTAACAGAAGGTCCTGGATGATGTTTTAAAAGTGGGATTTTAGTCTTCCAATTTGGATTGTGGTGCTTGAGCTGGGATAGAATGGTTTCATGGACGGATGTTGAAGGACTGCAGAAAATCACATAGTTTGGAAATAGTTGAGATCATTCACTGCTGCTGGGAACTGCTAGGAGCATGATCATCATGATCCCAATAAACACACCTTTCAGCCTATTTGCTTTTGCCAACAACTGCCTGAATATATACTCGGCTCTTAGATGGTCACCCCGTACTCGAGGAAGTACTCAGACGTGCGGGTCAGGATTCCGTTCTTCACCTCCGCATTAATGGGTGGTATGGAACATCAAGATGTGGGTGGTTTATTGTTGTTTTACTAAGATGAAGCCTTTTTGTCCAATGGTATACCATGGTATACCAAAGTATAGCTAGTTGGCTAGTTTTCGCAGACACTGAATTGTTGAGCTCGTAAAGATTTGAGACATGGGAAATTGGCATCCCTAAAATTTGAGGGAAACCGCCCATCTGGGTGTGAAATCTTGAAGGTGCAGTTGTTGAAAGCAATTTCTTTCTGATTAGATTCAGAATTTACAGGGGCCTCAGTCTTTCATGGGAAAGAAATGGAAAAGCCGTGTCTCCATCGACCTTTGCGGCTCCAAGGAAACTTGGAGGTGGTTGTTTTTCAGAACATTCGATGATGATAGCTATTCTATAATACATAATGATACATAATGATAATGATCAGCAATGATATGATATTATATATTATATACAATGATAGTGATCATGAATCATGAGAGTCCATTTCCCCTGGTTATCCACGACCAGCCCTCCAAACATTCCACACGAATGTGGAATGTCTCGGAGGTGCCAATGCCAATGCGCAGGAAGAGGCGCCGAACGGCGGTTGGGGGCCTGGGGGGGCGTTTGAACATGCGATAAATAGTAAGGTACCATTTGGTGATTTAACAGTTTGCTATGCTATAGACGGCCCATGTCTAGATGGTATTAACATGATGAACTGATGAACCCATATTGCAATGGTATATATATATACATATATATAGAGTATTATATAATCATGTAATATACTAATATACATAAACAAACGTAATTATCACTATTCATGAGTTTCTTTCCTTGGCTCATTTTCACAGCTTGCAAGAAGAGCAGTGTCCTTCGCCAGGAGCAACCTCACTTTTGGGGGTCCCCAGCCTCTGAATGCTTGGCCATCACATTCGCAGATTGGGTTACCCTGCCAGTAATACGTCGGAGATAAAGATTATCTGGTTGGTTGTTTGGAACATTTTTTATCTTCCCTAATATATGGGATAATCCTTCCCATTGACTAATATTTTTTAGAGGCGTAGGTCAACCGCCAACCAGTAATTAAATGAACTTCCGTATGCAAGCGGCTGCGTCCACATGACTCGGTTTTTCGTATCACTGTATCGGTGGAGCTGGAGCGAGCCAAATTTCCAGGCGAACAGCATGAGACGAGTGAACACCAACTTAGTCATCAGATGATGTTTAGCAAACTGGGGCATCATGAGACATAGATTTTTAGGTTTCTGCAGGCTTGACTCCTGACGTCGATTTCTTGAGGACGAGGATGAAACAGATGAGGAGGATGCGGAGGACAGCTGGATACTGGGAAAATCCAGGTGAATGGTGAACGGGGTACGTTGTTGCCAAAAAACTGGATGCGGGCGCACCACATTGTAGAGGCAAGAAACTTCAATAAACCAACAGAAGAAAGGGCTGACCAACAAGACCTGAGAATCAAGCTGCATTTGGGATACAACCCATGAACCGACATGTGACATGTGTAGATGTGAAAGTTCATTAATCAGTAGAATTCTATGGTGGAAGGGGACAAAAACACAGATATGGGACTTCTACTGTACCCTCTGGTATAACTGAAATCGCCTTTCTTAATAGGTAAATCATCATTTTTATCATCTGTAAATGGGTCATGCATACCGTAGCTATGGCAGATATTGAACAGTAACACGTCATGTATCACAGTAATGTATCACTATTTGAGTAGGATGTTGCTTTTCTATCTCTTTGGTTGCTATATTTGATATTACAAACGTCTTTGTTTTTCGGGGAATCTTCAACTTTAACGGGCTTATCGTCATCCCATTGACCCAAGTTGTGATAGAGCCACTTATGTGAGCATAGGACCTTAGGATATCGCCTGTGTATACAAATGTATCACGCCTGCATAGATAGAGAGAAACGCAATCGTCAATATGGTTTAGCCTGGCACAATGATTGTGAAACTGTTGGTGTCCAAAAAACACCTATACCCTCTGGTGAACTAACATAGCAATGGAAAATGGTGGATTTTCCTATTAAAAATGGTGATTTTCCATTGCTATGTTAGTTCACCAGAGGGTATTTGGTTATTGCCCACGTGCGGCAGCGGGGAGGATGAAGAAGAAGATGCAGATGGAAGCATGGAAGAAGATGAGGTGGAGAAGCCGGGGCAAAATCTGAAGACTGATCAGATTCAATCGCTGACCCGGAGGTCAATGGATCTGGACAAATGGGAATATCTTTGCTCTCCTCTAGAACATTCAGTGTTTGATGTTTGCCAATATGACATGTTGATATATCATATATATATATATATGTGTATACATTATATATAAGTAAATATATATATAGTATATATACATATTACATATTGTATATTTTTTTGTGCAGATGTTAGTTGAATTGAAACTTAACTTTGCACTTTGCACCAAAATGTTGATGGTTCCACCCCCGCGGAAAATGGACCAACCAGGAAGCCATGAATACGCCATGTGTCGCTTGGTCAGGCGCAATCAACATTCCATGCGCACATATGTGATATCCAGGAAAGTTCCATCAAAACTAAAATGGGTCAAGAGCCCCTCATCACTACTTGTACGGGTCCCTTGAGAAGATTCGGGGGGGCTGTGAACTCAACATCATGACATTCCTTTTTTTTGAGTTTAAAACCAGTTACATCCGTACATTGGAAATCAAAGCCACATGTTTGATCCTTTCAACTATTGACGACCATCCGGTGTCATCAAACGTGGCTGGAAAATATCTTGCAAATTGGAGGTTTATAGCTGAGAAAAACATCTCCACATGAAGATTGTCCAGGTTCCATGGCCAAAACCATTGGAGCTTGTATCGTGATTTGCCTAATAACCCTCTGGTTATTTAACGTAGCGAACTGGAAAATCACCCTTTTCATTAGGTAAATCATCATGAATTGTCCATAAATAAGCCATGTTCCATAGCTTTGTTGAAAAACCAGATGGTAATCCGGGAAACAAAACTACTGTTGAATATCTGTGGCATCCCAAAAAAGGATGCAGAAGTGCGGTTCAACGTATCACTATTTTTTGATCGGATTTTACACACCAACGTATCTTGCTGGGTGGTTTGGTCATGGTCCTAGCTATTGGGATAACTCACGGGGACTAAATGTGTTACGAACCAAAACAAATGGGATGATTCACCAAGTAGAAATAACTATAAATAGCTATAATAATCATGATAGTTTACGTATATATATTTATATACATATTCATATGTATAGATGTAGTACCTAGTATATATAGATAGATCTGAGTGGTAAATATCACCAGTTCCCATTTACTGTAAATATTCCCAAATTCAATAGTAGCTATACAGATATATTCACCATAATTCCCAGTGTTATTGGCTATAAACCACTTTATTATATACTTGCTATTTTAATATATATATATATACAGTACTACATATTACTACATGATCCATTCATACCCATTCGTTCCCATGGAAAAGATCCCATGGCTGGAAGGCCCAGTCCGAGAGCGAGGACAAGGCCAATGACGAGGTTTCCGAGGAGGACACGCGAGCAGTTTTTCGCTTTCTGGGCCGGGGAGATCATCGTTTGCAGATGGAAACGTGGTCCGTTTGTAGATGATTTGTTTGATTAGGATATTAGTGTGTATATATTATATATATATACATATACATATATGTATCTATAATAATTATATATATAGAATATACTATACAGCATAAATATGGTCCTTTGAACATTTAAGGTAGGCAAGAAGGTTGATAATCAGTTGTTTTGCTATTTTGTTGGGGTATATACCCTCCGGTAAATTAACATGGACCCTGAAAATCACCAGTTTTTAGTGAAAACTAATCTTCCAACCCCTATCTGGCAGGGTCTATGTTAATTTACCAGAGGGTAATATATGTATATGTTAAGTTGCTTACGGAGGGTTTGCCAGGGATCCACCAACGTTAACAAATAAGCAACTTAACGCTTGTTGCCTTCCAAAATTAACAAATAAGCAACTTAACATATGTTTTACCGACAAAAGTATTTAGAGGAAGAAGACCACCTACCATATGGGACCACCCACTTTGGCCATGTCCACTGCAGGTAGTAAGTAATTTTGTCCGTGACTCATATTTATATATAAACATGTGCCTTTTAACATTCAGGATCTGACCCAGTAGCCGCATGGAAGCCAAGCCTGGATGTCAGCCATGTTTTTTTTTGTCGGAACAAAGTTTTTTGGGCTTTAAATGACTTGATATCTGGAAACTGACATTAAGATATATATATATATACACCTTTCTATTTGGCATGAATCCAAGAAAAACGGTTCTATTGAAGTATAGATCATCCAGATCAGGAATTGATCCAAATGGAAAGATCAAAAAATATGGCCAGCAGTGGGAAGTAGTCACAGTCGATACTTAGTTAATACTGATTTTCAAAATCCAGTCCATATCGACTGGCTAATATCCCTAATATCCCTATTATCCAGTTCATATCCAGTTATTAGCTAGTTAATACTTACCCTCTGGTTATGACTAACATAGCCATGGAAAGATCCACATTTTTTAATAGGTAAACCATCTATTTCTATGGGCCATCTATACCATGGCTATGTTAGTCATAACCAGATGGTATATAGATATATATATATATATATATGGGAAAATCCACTATTAATGGTCATTTTCAATAGCTATGTTAAATTACCAGAGGTTTTTTTTTTTCTAGGGTTTAATGGTTAATACTTAGTTCATATCCCATTCAGATCCCAATTTTTCTCTGGCAACAAAAACCGCAGTTTCCATCCCCAAGGACGATCGCGAAGACGGGGAAACGGAGCCGGAAGGCGAATGGGACGAGTGACGGCTTGCGAGGCGAAGCCTGTGAGCCCAGGGGCAGCGACCTCTTGGGGGATCCAAAGTTCGACTTTTTGCACATGTGAATTATAATGTGTATATATATATATACATATGGATAATATATATATATACATATGGATTATATATATATATATATATATTATAACAATTTCTATAATATAATACAACATATATATATATATATACATTATAATACAAAAAAACACATATATATATATACATATATATATATACACTATATATACATTTCATGAATAACACGGATATGTTCAAATGTAATGTAATATGTTCTTCATTTTCAGTAGAACTTTGGTGATTAATTGTTGGGATCCATAACTCAACACGGTTATTTAGGATTTGTTTATTTATGATTGTTACTATGGTATTCAATATATAGTTCAACATGGTATGAAATACATACTTGAACATATGCTGTATGCATATATACGATGTGTATTATGTATGGTCATGGTTACCATATGATATCTCGCGAGTAGAATCGAAGAATCTGTGTTTTTATTTATTGAACGTCATGCAAGATCATGTCCTGTTTTGGGATATCACATTTTGAATCAATTTGACCCAAACCCCATGTGACACAGACAGGAACGAGGTTTTAAAGATTAGTCAAGCAGGGATGCCCCGTATCCAGTTTTTTTCAGCGAGTCTGTAGCGAGCAGACGGCTGCGGCAAAACGACGACTACTGAGTGGTTTCAAAGATTTTATATGTTCAAACCTACAGGTTGGGTCACCCCAGTTGTAAGTTGTTATATAACCACCAACTGACTATTACAAGTTTGGGGTCCAGTTGTAAGTTGTTATACAACCTCCATCAACTATAGTTATAATTAACCACAACCCCTAGACTAGATAGATGAGTTCTGTTCACCAACTTAGCCATTGTTTGGGGGGTCGACCTTGTAGAAATGGATCCAGCTTAGCTTAGTGGGTCGGCGAGCTCAACTACCCAGGTTTCCCTGAAAACATCAAGGAGCCATGTGCATAGTGGGGTCATTTATGAACCGTAATGAACCATTCAAATTATGCACTGGTTGATAGGTTAATATAGGTTAATATAGGAAGTTATTTATTCAAAATTATTGTGGAATATAAGAACCCATGCTAGGGAAAGCTTAGTTAACCAGCTAGTGACTGGGGGTTTCATTTCGATGATTTGGACCATTTCTTTGCCATGGTGGATTGTAATACCTGGTAACCATTTACGTAGCTATGAAAGACCCAGAATGTTTAGGAGGTAAATCATCGACAAATAGGTCATTTCCCAAAGCTATGTTAGATTACGAGAGGATGATGCGTAGCTTGCAATAAACTACTTGACTCTGGTCAATACCCCAAAAAAAAAGATAAAAAAGCATAGCTAGTTGAATCTGGTCAATACAAAAGTTTTAGAAAGCATGAATAGCATGAACAAAAAAAACACTTGGTAGACTTTAAGGTTTTCGTGGCCATTCCTATGTTCAGCAGGCACAGGACATAGGGTTGATTGAACCCCCCAAATGCCTAGCTATTTTGGGCCATGTAAGGTTTATTCTGTGTGCTTGTTTCCACCCATAATATATTAAATACCTCCTCAGGAACACTGGTTGATACTTTTATAATCTTATATATATATACATTAATATACACTAATATATACTTATATATATACTTATATATCTTTACTAATTTGCATATATATATATATATACACACTAATATTGGATTTGCTAATGTTGAGGCGCATATGGGGGATATGCTTATTATGGGGATGGATGGTACATTTATTGACCTCGACGAGTCCAGAATTGCAGAGAATAGCTACAGTATGTCATTGTATATCCACATTGCATTGGGTTCCAGTGTACCATAGAATGTTCATTGTTTATATGTAATTAAATTTATATGATCTAACAATGACTTTCAAACCCCCCAGTGATTGATGATTATATTGGCTTATATACTATAAGACTCTGTGGGGGACTATCACAATCCAATATATCTGAGAAAACCTGTTGACTTTTTGAGAACTGCTATTGACCAATGAGTAGAACAGTGGTCGCAGATGCTGGTCGCAATGGCTCGTGGTTTCACAGTTCGATCAAGGTGGGCCCTTGAGAGGATCCGTTGAGTTGAAGTGAAAAGAATCTCACAGAACCGAATACCGGTATTCTAATGGAAAATCAACTATAAATGGTGGAAAATCACCATTTTGTATGGGAAAACTCACTATAAATGGCCATTTTCAATAGCTATGTTAAATTACCAGAGGGTAAATGGATGACTTTCCATGAAAGAACCATCATTTAATATATTTCATGGGGATTTTTCCCTTACCACGTTTATTTACCAGAGAATAAATGACATGCAATCATCCCGCTATGTGGGGTGATTGTGGTAGAGCCAGAAAAAACTCCTGAATCGGATATGAGTACAAAGCAAAAATTGTTGAAACCTCTAATTTATCAATTTGTAAAACTCAAGTGTTGGTATAATTGCTTAAATTCAACTCTGGATTAATAAACCTCTAGCCTCTAGGCTGTTTAAGCAGGGGGTACCATTTAAATATCAGAAAACCATTGTTTATCATTTTTATCCAGCTTTCGGTCAGCCATTGTGCTTATGCTCTGGGCATTCTAGCACGTCCTCAGTAAGCAGGTTGTAACATCTGGGATATGTTGAGAGATATTGCCCCAATACTGGGCGATTGCCGTTTCATTCGGTATTTCCCCAGGTTTCCCTATGGTTCGATTGTGATGGTCTATACCAACCTGAAATCCCTCGGCCAATCTCGCCTCGCAACGTGGAATCCCGAAATATTGCTTTTCGATTTGGGTATGGATCAATACCTATTAATACCATTTTTAGGGGGATGAACATCCATTTACCAGCTATTTTGATGTTCACCAGGGGTACAAGGTTTTGACACACTGCCATTTGATGAATGTCCCATTTGAAACGTGTGTTTTCCACTATGAAGGTTGTCATTCAAGGGCAATTGATGGCAATCAAAAGCTTCAGACAATGGATTGGTTTAAGGGAAAATTTACAGGAAAACACCATATTTCATGGGAATTCATGGGAAATTCCATGGTTTCCGGTTAAGATTTTCCCTTCAACCAATCCATTGATGACATCGATTCTTTGCTGGGTAAATTCGACACTGGGACCACCGAGATTCAGACTCCGAACACCGTTTGGCGTGGCGGTTCTTAGGCGTTGCCGAAGCCGCTGTGCCGTTGCGGGGCGCTTCAGCGGCTGTGGCTGAAGAAAAGGTTCCAACGAAAGCGTGAAGTTGGATGAATTTGAAGCATACTCTTGCGGCCCGAAATACAAGTTATAAAATATGTTATAAATATAGTTTTAAGTTATAAGCCAGTGATAACCCAATTCATAGAATCATAAGCCTATTTTGTAACCATTTGTAACTGCTGGTAAAGGACCAAAACTGTAACAATTGTGGAGTTAAGTTAGAAAAGTGCTTTGTGCATGCACAAATAATCAAACATGCAGAGTGGGTTCGCCTATAATAAAGTACCCAACAATCCCATTACGCCCATCATGTTCGCGCTAAATGTCAGGATTTTAGAATGATCATTTTCCATATAGTTATTCAATGTGTCTTCCACATATATTGCCACACATCCTTATCAATTCCATCCAATCACATGAACACTATCCAGTTTCCATGGGTTTTCCCATCATATTTATGCCTACGGCAGGAAAACCGTACGTGCGTTTTGCTTCTTTTTTGAGTATTGCTCTTTGTCTTGGGGTTGGGGTGGGGTGGGGTGGGGGGGCATGTTAACGTTCCTTGTACTTCGTACATGATATATTGCCATGTTGCTAAGATCTCTGGGATCTTTTACTACGTTACGTGTTGCTACGCTGCTGAGATCTCTAGTGTGGGTTGGGGTTGGGGTGGGGTGGGGTGGGGGGGCATGTTAACGTTCCTCGTACTTCGTACAGGATATATTGCCGTGTTAGTGTGGGTTGGGGTTGGGGTGGGGTGGGGTGGGGGGGCATGTTAACGTTCCTCGTACTTCGTACAGGATATATTGCGATGTTGCTAAGATCTCTGGGATCCTTTACTACGTTACATGTTGCTACGCTGCTGGTATCTCTGAGATAGTTTCCTACGTTACATGTTGCTACGCTGCTGAGATCCTTGGGACTTTCTTACTACGTGACATGTTGCTACGCTGCTGAGGTCTCTGGGATCTTTTACTACGTTACAGGTTGCTACGCTGCTGAGATCTCTGGGATCTTTTACTACGTTACAGGTTGCTACGCTGCTGAGATCTGTGGGATCGTTTACTACGTTACATGTTGCTACGCTGCTGAGATCTCTGGGATCGTTTACTACGTTACATGTTGCTACGCTGCTGAGATCTCTGGGATCGTTTACTACGTGACATGTTGCTACGCTGCTGAGATCTCTGGGATCGTTTACTACGTCTGATGCACATGATGTTTACCTGGATTTGTTAAAAATCAATGAGTTTTGCATCCACTTTTTTTAACCCAAATTCAGTTATCCAAACTGAGCGGAAGAGCATTTTATATTGTAAATTACAGGTGATTGTGACTCTCCTGGAAGCAACCAATCAAAACGCTCGCGCGGTTTCCCTTCCGCCGGGATATTTATCATATTTATCCCATATATGTATTTATTCCACAGTACCCGATTGTATTCTAGTATCTCAAACTATTTTCACGGGTTTCCATGTTTTTTGTTCGTTCGTAGAAACAACCCATCAAATAGAACCCATGAAATCCCCGGATAAATCCCTTGTCTCCAATCATTTTCACAATCTTCATATTTCTTCCATGATTCTCCATTCTATTCCAGTATATTCCAGTATCACTATAGTAATGGTGTCCCTAGGTTTTCCATGATTATCCCCAAGTTTTAGTCCATTATCCAAGTGAGTTTGTTTCGTCCACAGAACTCCAGCAGCCTTCAGCCACACGCCGCCTCGAGAGCTCTCCCAAGTCGTGGGGGCTGAAAAAAACATCGGTGTCACGGGGTGTCTTGAAATAGGGCTGAAATAACGATGGTTAGTAAAGGTTGATAATGGTCAATGATGATAATCATGAGGATTTTTATGGTAAATAATATGGTTAGTGATGATGGTATTAATAGATGTTACTGGAAAATTTGACATCAACAAGATTTCATGGGATATATGACAGGAATATCAAATGGGATATATACCCTTTGGTAGTCAAACGTGGCTAGCTGGGAAATCCCCAAACTAAATGGATGTAAACATAGCTGGGAAATCAATTCTCCAGCAGGCCATGTTTGATTACCAGAGGGTAACCACATAAAATTGCTTAAATAACAGAGAAAATACATGAGACAATAGTTTGGAAGGTGATGGTTAACACAACAATCAGGTAGAACTCGCAATGTATCTACAAACATATGATCCTTGGCAGTGCCTCGAAGTGGGGTGTCAGACCCCCCAAAAAAACTTTTTACATGGAACATATGGGGAAATCGTGGTAAGCCCACGTGGAAACCCGGTGTTTCTCGCGAAATGTTCAGACCCTAATGGTTCGATCTGGGACCCTTTGGAGCATTTGGATTTGAATCCCATCACCCCTCATACTACACCCCATTGAAATCCTGGTTTTTCATAGTGGATCTTGTCCCAAAGAACCACAAGATTGATGATGCATGGACAATGATGTGAACATGAAAACGATGACGCATACTGTAGTGATACACTATCGTGGGAGAGTCCTTTTAGATATAGTGTATGATTGTTTGTGCAATGTGGTGCCCCAAGCAGAATGTGTGTGTTTTTTTCTCAGGAAGGAGTCTCTATAGTTGTGATCCTTGGATTTCCAAGTTTTTGGAACGGAGTGAACAGCAGTGGATTTTTCTGTAGGTTCGCTTGCATTCGTCATTGAGGGGTTCTGCATGTTCTCTCTGCAACTGGTCATTGTGTGGGTACCCCCCGTTCACGGTGATCAAAATCCGCCAATGATTCCCCTGCCCTTAGCTCCCTAACCACCTCGCCCATGAGGGCCGCCGACATGAATCAGGTGGAACCCCCGATTTACGTAGCAGAACTGAGCTTAAGCGTGGCACCTTGCCACGCTTCAACTTGTGTTTTCTCGGCTCGCAGCTCCTGACAGCGCAGGATTCATTTGCACCGAACAGGGCCATCAGTTCAGAGGAATGCTTTTTGGCCAACGTGAACAAACAAACATCTCTTTGACCTGGCACTCCCAAGAAAAAATCATGAAAACGACATCAATCGCATGTCCAGAATTGGATCATGGCATGTGTTTTTTGACTGACCCTCAGATAATTGATGATAAAACATGATAAAACAGCCATATAAGATCCATGGTTTCCAAATGTGTCCGCTCAAGGCTCCAGATTTTCCAATCACTCCAGATTTCCAGCTCGCACCCATGGCGTCCACCGCGAAGGCCGCCAAAGCCGTCCCCGCCCCAGCCCCCGCGACACCAAGTCGCGAGTACCTTCGCTTCGAAATCGTCGACTTCCATTGCAAGGGACTCTCCAAGACGGTTCCCGCACGGCATAGAGATGAGACATTTGGTCTGAAGATACGGGGGTGAAATCGGCTGTTGATTTTTGTTTTAAATGGGTGACTTAAGTTTGCGGAAGTCAAAATGGGACCCACCAAGCGCTTTAAGCCAATGTTTTAGTATGTTTTAGTGAACTTTTAAATAATCCCTTCCCCCTAATACCAACCCCCCCCCAAAAAAAATAATAAACACCTAAGGTAGTTTTTATTATTAGGGGGTATTTATTATTAGGGTGCGAAGCTTCCCCCTAATACTAAACTAAAACCCTTAATACCTAGCACCACCTTTCGAGCTAAAAATGAAGCCTTTTTCTAATATGATGGGGGTACATACCTGGTTCCGTTGCTCGCAGGGTCATCCACCACGATTTCAGGGAATTTTAAGGGTAGATCCATATATGTAGATATCGCCACATTCTTGTTGATCTTCCGTGTAACAACCTGTTCAACCCATCGAATTTGCCTATGAACATTATGAACCAACATCAATAAGTGGATGTAGGGGACGACTCCACATCAATGGGACCTAATAGGGGATCAACTTAAACCGATCAGTGATCGCCCCAGTTCGTAAGTCCCGCTGAGGTGGGGTTATCAGATATTACCTGGGTTATAAATATATGGTTTTTACATGTTTTTACCAGGAAACTAAGATAGCTATGGAACATCAGCATGGTAAAACAATGGAACTCAATGGGCCGCTAGGCAGTTTCAATCCTCCAAGCAGCTGGGAAGCCGATCTTTTTGCTGTCCCAGGAGTGTCTACATGTACTCGGGGGCCTTGGCTTATGGTTCGATCCAACGCGTCATGGTGCCTGGTGGAAAACGGCGAACAGCGACGGGTTTGGTCAATATGGCAGCTATATGGGGACAATTGCCCTTGATTTGTTGGGATTTTGTTTGCATTTTTCTGTTTTTTTCGATATAATTGGGGATAATTGGGGGCATAATCCCATGGCCCATGATATTTGAAATTATCAAAACTGATTGTCGCATTATAAATTATAATCCCATCAATATTTCGATATTTTTTTGGGGTTTATTATCCCCATGATATTTCCCTCTGGTAAACTAACATAACTATGGAAAATCACCATTTTCAATGGGAAAATCCACTATAAATTACCAGAGGGTTGATGTTTTTTTTCATTGGGACCATGATTTTTGATCACAGGAACTGATGTTTTTAATGACCCCTTGGGGCGACTCCACTGGAGGGCTGGAGATAGTAGGGTCGTGAAACGGGTCAGCCTTGGGTTCATCTCGGTGTTGTCCGATAACAGGTTATACAAGTATTGTAATATAGTAGTATATAAAAGTTACCCTCTGGTAAATTAACATAGACCCTGGCAGATAGGGGTTGGAAGACTAGTTTCCATTAAACATTGGCTATTTTCAGGGTCTATGTTTATTTACCAGAGGGTATATCCTAATTTATGCTACTTGAATGATGATTATCAGATTTGAGGGTACCAAATTGTCAGATTAACCCGTCTATTTCACACTTCTGGTGAACTTGACTAGCTCTCTAAAGTGTCATTGTACCCATGGCTGAACTTACGGTACCCCCCAAAAAAAGGTTTGGTTTGTCAAGTTTAGAAAAACATATCACCAATGAACATTGCCATAACTTGGGTCTCCGCCCCCCTCTGCCTCCTTCTTTTGGTTCCGCTCCCCCCACATATTATGTTCATATCCATTCTCAAGCTTGGATGGGCAGGCCAACGCTTGCTAGAGTATGTTTACGATAAATGGTGTTATCTACTACATAGCTAAAGACCACAGGTCTACAATGTGAGACCGTCAAGGATAGGTAAGTTGAGCTATGCTATCCTGCGAAAAATCACTCCAACTCTTGGATTTAGGGTGGATGTATCAAGTCTATGCTAAAGTTGGATGGGTTTTGCATGATCATAACTATGACCATCACCATTTATCGAGATATTTGTGGATACTTCTGATTGATACAATTTACATGTTTACTCTAAGTGGCTTTCAACTATCAAACATCATTTGGGGATTGTAGTTTGCAAATTGCTTCATCAGAACTTTCTTGAGTTTTCTTGACCTATCTAACTACAGCTTGTTTGCATTTCAGCCAATGCCGCGATGGAGGTGTGTTTTCTGTCAGGTGCAACTCTGGCAGCGCTTGCCCCGGATGAATTCGAAGGAAAGACTGCAAAGGCTGTGAAACAAGCCTTGGCAGTTCAGATTGGTGTCACCAGATTCAAACAACGACTCTTCTCCGAAGATGGTTCTGAGATCCTGGATGATGAGGTGTTTACCTCCGCTCCAGTGAAGCTTCACATGGTGGTATTGGATTTTTATCCAGCTGATGCCCAGCGAAACCAACAAGTCATCTCTGCATCTATGGATAATGATCTGATCGCCCTGGAAAAGTTCCTCAATAGCCCTTCCAATCCCAATGTCACAGATGAACATGGTAACACGCCATTGCACAATGCTGCCAGGAGCGGACATGTTGAAAGCATGCTGCTTTTGCTTGAGGCAGGTGCTGAAAAAGACCCACCAGGAAATCAAAGGATGACGCCATTGCATTTGGCAGCTATGCATGGCCACTTTGATGCTGTCCGTCATTTGGTGGAAGTTGGTGCTGACAAAGATCAAGCAGTGAATAGCGGTGCAACATCATTGTACATTGCAGCTCAGAACGGCCATCTTGATGTTGTCCGTCATTTGGTGGAAGTTGGTGCTGACAAAGATCAAGCGAGAATCAACGGTGCAACTCCATTGTTCATTGCAGCTAGCAACGGCCATCTTGATGTAGTCCGTCATTTGGTGGAAGTTGGTGCTGACAAAGATCAGGCTCGGAATACCGGTGCAACACCATTGTTCATTGCAGCTGAGAACGGCCACCTTGATGTTGTCCGTCATTTGGTGGAAGTTGGTGCTGACAAAGATCAAGCAGTGAATAGCGGTGCAACATTATTGTACATTGCAGCTCAGAACGGCCATCTTGATGTTGTCCGTCATTTGGTGGAAGTTGGTGCTGACAAAGATCAAGCGAAAATCAACGGTGCAACTCCATTGTTCATTGCAGCTAGCAACGGCCATCTTGATGTAGTCCGTCATTTGGTGGAAGCTGGTGCTGACAAAGATCAAGCACAGAATCAGGGTGCAACACCCTTGTTCATTGCAGCTAGCAACGGCCATCTTGATGTAGTCCGTCATTTGGTGGAAGTTGGTGCTGACAAAGATCAGGCTCGGAATACCGGTGCAACACCATTGTTCATTGCAGCTGAGAACGGCCACCTTGATGTTGTCCGTCATTTAGTGGAAGTTGGTGCAGACAAAGATCAAGCAGTGAATAGCGGTGCAACATTATTGTACATTGCAGCTCAGAACGGCCATCTTGATGTTGTCCGTCATTTGGTGGAAGTTGGTGCTGACAAAGATCAAGCGAAAATCAACGGTGCAACTTCATTGTTCATTGCAGCTAGCAACGGCCATCTTGATGTAGTCCGTCATTTGGTGGAAGCTGGTGCTGACAAAGATCAAGCACAGAATCAGGGTGCAACACCCTTGTTCATTGCAGCTAGCAACGGCCATCTTGATGTAGTCCGTCATTTGGTGGAAGTTGGTGCTGACAAAGATCAGGCTCGGAATACCGGTGCAACACCATTGTTCATTGCAGCTGAGAACGGCCACCTTGATGTTGTCCGTCATTTGGTGGAAGTTGGTGCTGACAAAGATCAAGCAGTGAATAGCGGTGCAACATTATTGTACATTGCAGCTCAGAACGGCCATCTTGATGTTGTCCGTCATTTGGTGGAAGTTGGTGCTGACAAAGATCAAGCGAAAATCAGCGGTGCAACTCCATTGTTCATTGCAGCTGAGAACGGCCATCTTGATGTTGTCCGTCATTTGGTGGAAGTTGGTGCTGACAAAGATCATGCACAGAATAGCCGTGCAAAACCATTGTACATTGCAGCTAAGAACGGCCATTTTGATGTTGTCCGCCAGTAACAGGTTGCGTATGGGCTTGCCTAGGGCGATCTCACATTCATGCCCCGATTTTCCACTTGCAATTTGGCATCGGTGGTACTTTTTGAATTTCAGTAGCTATGTGTTCATCATCAAGAAACACCTGTGATCCATGTCTACAATGACAGACGGCTCCGTGTACATAATTGATAGCCGATCGTCATGTACTCATGCAACATGATATAACACTACGTGGGTATGCATCCCAGTTGGTACGTCTGCAATAACCCTTAGGTATATATATCTACCTAATTCTACATATATATGTATATATCTACCATAAAACATAGTTTTTATTCACTCCTTCACCGTAAACGGCCAACTGTTTGGCTTCCAGCAACGTCAGGTGATCCCGGAGGAGATCGGCCAGGCGGGCTGCCCCAACGCCAAGCTGGTCCCCGATTGGTCCACGGAGCAAGTTCTGCCATGGGCCTGTCGGGCCGAGAAGGGCATCACCCTGCGATGCTTGGATACCTTGGATACCTTGGAGAGTGGATGGGAATTTCTGCTGGAAATTTCTATGGTTTTAGTAGGGAAAATGCCATGACTATGGGAATTTCTGCTGGGAAATTTCTGCTGGAAATTTCTATGGTTTTAGTAGGGAAAATGGCATGACTATGGGAAATTCTGCTGGAAATTTCTATGGTTTTAGTAGGGAAAATGACATGACTGCTGGGAATTTCTGCTAATTTCTGCTGGAAATTTCTATGGTTTTAGTAGGGAAAATGATGACTATGGGAAATTCTGCTGGAAATTTCTATGGTTTTAGTAGGGAAAATGACATGACTATGGGAATTTCTGCTAATTCTGCTGGAAATTTCTATGGTTTTAGTAGGGAGAATGCCATGACTATGGGAATTTCTGCTGGGAAATTCTGCTGGAAATGTCTGAATCTATAAAACTATGGTTTTAGTATGTTTTAGTAGGGAAAATGCCATGACTATGGGTTTATATCAGTTTAGAAGATCCCTTATTTATATCTAATGTTTGGGACGATCATTGGGGAGGGCTATCAATTCATCAACCAGGCTGTGGCTGACATCTGTTGACATTACCATCTGGTAAACTAACAGTTTGCGAAGCGGAAAAACACCATTTGGTAGGTAAATCAACAACTAACATAGTAAACTAACATAACTATGGAAAATCACTGATTTTTTTATGGGCAGATCCACTATTTCTATGGCCATTTTCAATAGCTATGTTAGTTTACCAGAGGTTTTTTTTCTAGGGTTTAATAGGGAGAATCAGGACTGATAGGGAGGATGGAAGGGGGGGGGTGGATGGGACTTTTTTGGGACTTACCATTGGGATGTTCCCAGCTCTAAAACAGCATATGGGGGATTTGATAAAAATGCAATGCTTGATTATTTGACTAGCAGAGGGTATTTGGATGGTTGGATGTGAAAACAATGCAGATTTCAACAAAAGTAGGGATGGGATAGCAGCAAGAATTGGACTTCTATTTTGGTGCCCCAAAAAAAGCTTCAGCTAAGTTGGTGTGTAGTTCATATTAGGGATGATATGGTGATTAGTTCATGTAGACTTTTATAACACTGGGACAAGTCTAAACTGATTTTTCTTGGGGACTTGGGGATGTGAATGGGAAGAAAGTCGGATTCCGTGGGATAGATCGTCCCTGGGTTCCTAACGGTGCTGCTATGGTGTGCCATGGATCCCATTCATGTCAGCCCCATTCATGGTGCTGCATATATACCAGCACCAGCCGGATCCGTCATGGCTATGGAGAAGCACCACGAATCGAACATAGGTAAATCAAGAAACTCCATGATCCATTTTCCAGTTCGCAAACTGGAAGAAATTACCAGAGAGTATGTCTTCGAAAGTGGTCCAGATCTTGAAACTGAATGAAACTGGGCACAAAAAAAAAATAAAACCAGCCAGGATGCCGCACATGACATCTGGCCGAAAGTTGGGCATTCACTGCAGATCCTGCAGGATTTTTTTGGTCGAAAAGTCCTGAGGCAAAGCCAAGAAAATAGGATGGTTGGGCTAAAACAATGGTGCTAAAAAAACAAAGTTGTGGCTCTTGAGTACCACAATACCACAGTTGTCATCTATGGAGGTGTGATTTTCTTTTTGGCAGGATGGTGCTGGAAAATATTTGCTGTGCTGACCAAGGGCAATCCAAGGAATCATTCGGGAATGCCAGGACTTAGCGCACCTGAGCCAACTGGGGGACCTAAAATCACTCCAAATTCTTCTCATTTGATGCTACTTTGGTAGTGTTAGGAAACCAATAGTGTTAGGAAACCAATATTCCCATATATTCCCGAATTTGAACCTCGGCACCCATATCTGACACTGGCCAAGGACGAGTCTACTGTGAAATGGAGGGTCGTGACCTAAGGGGATCGACGAATGGGATCTGTGGGGCATGCATGGTTTTTAATATGCGGGAGCCATTTATTTAGGAGTTGTTTTTTCCCCCTGTCCACTTTATTGTTTGCTTTTTGTGTTTCCTTCTCTGCTTCTGTGTTTTTGCTTTTCTGTGGAGCCCCTCTGTTTATGATAAGTTGGTTTATAAACCCAAATATAGAAGAATACTACAATATATATATATATATAATATATATGTATATAGATAGATAGATAGATAGATAGATACATCCACATAGAATCCAACAGTTCTTCGGGTCTCAAAACCAAGAACCCCATCATACATCAACTATCAATCCCAAATTCTCGATGAATTTCGATGGTTCCACCAGGTCTAAAGTGTGGCCCCAGGGCCCTCTGCGGTCGCCTGTTGGCCGAACTGAAAGCCTTCGAGAACCAAAAGATGGAACTGCTGACGGGGGGCGAATTGGAGTTCGTCCCGTGGCCGAAGATGGTTCCGATGTGTTCCGATCAGCCTCCACCCCCAACATTCAAGGTAAAAGTGCCAAGATGATGGGGTAACGGGTAACCATTTTGATAGGTACAAACGGAGGGTCTGGGTATATGTGGGTGATCCATTTTGGACAACTGGTGAGAGAAGCGCCAGAATCACCAGAGGTTTGGGCCGGATTGATAGTTACCCACATTTTTTTGGTTTCCACAAAGGGACATATTCAGAAACAAAAGACAAAGCATAAAGCCTACATATTAGTGATTTTACAATAGCAGGTGTCCTGTTTTACTGGATTCTTCCCATTTCTTCCCTTTAGATGGCCATTACTTGTGGACTATTTTTCCCCATGTATATCCCTTGTTCGGTCCGTGCCGCGACGAGCCTTTCGGTGATCAATGCTAGATCAAAAGGAGCCAGTGATGAGACACATCAACCGTAAAAGCACGGACACATTGGGAAGGAATGTATTCTCATTAGTCATCCTTATGAATCATTTATCATGATCATGAGCCAATACAAAGACATACAAAAACCATTTCTAAGCATCGAATTATTTCAAGCAGTATTGGTTAGTAATGGATAAGACATGAGGTTATTCACCATCACATTCACCATCAACTATGAACACAACCATCATTGTTATAGTTGTAGTAGTTATTAACCATCATTGTGTTTAACCATCACTAACCATCACTAACCATTAACCATTAACCACAACCATCACTATGACCATCACTATGACCATAAGTCTTATTACTAACCATTAGCCATAGTTAAGCCGTTGTTATAGTTAAAACGTATTAAATCCAATTAGTTACATGCATATTATTAACCAGAGTTACTATTTTATTTAATGGTGATGAAAAGCCTCATTACTAACCAATACTAACCATAGTTACTAACATTTAATGGTTATTACCCCTCATTAACCATAGTTAAACCACCATAAAAGCACCATAAAAGCACCATAAAAGCACCATAAAAGCACCATAAAAGCACCATAAAACCATCGAAGGTCATGTGCTCAAAGACCGCGGATGGTTGCTTTGACCAAAGTTTGACTTCTGCCACCGGGGCAGTTGGCAGCGGAACGGGGCGTTGTTTTTTTTTGGGGGGTTGGGAAGTGGTTGGAACGTGGTTGATAAATGGTTGATCAATGGATAAGTGGTTGATAGATGGTTGATAAATGGTAGGAACATGTTTTTGGTAACAATCAAACTAATGCAATTTGAATCGATGATCATCAACAAATGTGAAAGACTGTGGGGAAAGTATGAATGTGATGGTGTCCACCAAGTTATGTTCATTGGCTTGTAGCCTTCACAAGTTAGTTCGATATATCTATCAATAGTCTATCAATCTACCACTAAACCCAACAGGTGGCATAGTTGTAGACCAACTGTAGCATAAAAAGCACTTTACTTTAGGGCCACCAGGGCGATCGACATCCCAAAAAACATCGGAGATCAACTTGACATGGGATCTCGGACCTCTGTCCACATGAGTGTCATTGGAATGATGGGAAAATCTCAGAAGGCTTTGGTTGGAAGGGGGGTATACCCCCAACTTGCTTTTTTGGGGAAACTGAGTATTCATTAACCAATGGATTTAGGGCTACAGGCACATATATGGGTTCCTTTTTAAACATCTCCAGCAACCATGGATGTTGCTCACGATTAGATACCACATGAAGTGCCAGCCAGACCTGTTCCGATTTAGAAAGGAGGAATTGATGACCCATCTAATCTGGTTGGTGGTTTGGAATATGTTTTATTTTCCATGCATGATATATGGGATAATCCTTCCTAGTTAGTGACTAATATTTTTCAAGATTGTTAAAACCACCAACCAGTAACTATCGACCAATTTGTTGGATCAAAACCTGGTGCCACGTTGAACACCAAAACGTGGAACGGTTCCATCCCGCATATTTTTTGGATGAACCCAGCAAAGCGTCAGGTTTCTTGGCAAAGAAATTAGGTGTAGATAGATATCCTGTAGCATTTGGTAAAACCATGCAAAACCCATCATCAAACCATCCTCAACTTGATATGATAAATAGATATAAAAATAACCATCGGGATGCATGTTTTTTGGACCTGGGCACCCTTTTTTTGGACCTGTACATGTTTTTTGGACCTAACCAGAATTTTTTTTGGACCTAGGGTCACAAAAAATGTGGGGACTTGCCTATGTGTTTTCTGGACCCTGTGGGAATATTTTTTGTGGACCTGCATGAATTTGTTCTGGACCCACGGAATTTTTTTTCGACAGCCAAATTAATTGTTTCTGAGCTCGGTCTCTGTTTTTTGGACCCGTGCACCTGCTTCGTGGACCTTGCCTCCATAGGGTGGGGGGCACAGGTGGGGGGGACTTTAGGAGGCCACGGTGGAACCAGATATAAAACCAAATGAATGCAGGGAATATTGACGCAACATGAATGCAGCGCAGGAAGTTGTTGAGGGGCACCGGGGAGGAAGCTTAGAGATTAAAACAAAAATGAACGGAAGAAGTCATGGGGAGGCGACGGGGGATTAGATATTGAAACTTAATGAGTGCAAGAAGTTGAGGAAGTTTGATGAGAGGCACATGGGGGGAAGGTAGATATTGAAACCAGGTGAGCGCAAGAAGTTGGGATGAGGCTGAAAATCGAATTCAAAACAAGCTTGGAATCGAATTTAAAGAAGAATTAAATTCGAATTTAATTCCAACGTGTCTGTTCTTCATTTGACCTTCAAGAAGGAATTAAATTCAAATTTAAATCTTGTCATGGACTGCGTTGTCTGGAACGTGCCGCGGACTTCTTTTTGGCCAGCCAAAGGGTTCCAAAGCGCCAAAAGCAGATCGAAAATTTTTCCGTGCCTGCAAAGCAAGCCAAGTGATTGTTGAAACCGATGCAAGTCTCTCTTACTGGATCCATCCGGTGCAGCCTACAAAAAATTACATACGAACTTACGCGGGGGTCCGCTTTTCTTGCCGAACTCGGGCTCTCGAACGGGAATTTCGGACCCCCGATAATGCACATTGACAGCACAGAAACTTTTCTTGCACAGACATTTCACCCATATACTTTTCACCCCGAGACTCTTCTTGCACATACTTTTCAACCATATACTTTTCACCCAGAGACTCTTCACCCAGAAACTCTTCTTGCACATACTTTTCACCCATATACTTTTCACTCAGAGACTCTTCACCCAGAAAACCTTCTTGCACATACTTTTCACCCATATACTTTTCAACCAGAGGCTCTTCTTGCACATACTTTTCATCAATATACTTTTCATCCAGAGACTCTTTACCCAGAAACTCTTCTTGCACATACTTTTCACCAATATATTTTCACCCCTTCACCCAGAAACTCTTCTTGCACAAACATTTCAGGGGTATACTTTTCACCCACAGACTCTTCACCCAGAAACTCTTCTTGCACAGACATTTCACCCGTATACTCTTCACCCAGAGACTCTTCACCCAGAAACTCTTCTCGCACAGACATTTCACCCATATACTTTTCACCCAGAGACTCTTCATCCAGAAATTTTCTTGCACATACTTTTCACCAACATATTTTCACCCATAGACTCTTCACCCAGAAACTCTTCTTGCACAGACATTTCACCCATATACTTTTTACCCAGGGACTCTTCACCCAGAAACTCTTCTTGTACAGACTTTTTACCCAGAGACTCTTCTTGCACTAAATTTTAACCCACATATTTTCACCCATAGACTCTTCACCAAGAAACTCTTCTTGCACATACTCTTCACCCTTATACATTTCACCCTTATACATTTCACCCATATACTTTCCACCCCGAGACTCTTCTTGCACATACTATTCAACCATATACTTTTCACCCAGAGACTCTTCACCCAGAAACTCTTCTTGCACATACTTTTCACCCATATACTTTTCACCCAGAGACTCTTCACCCAGAAAACCTTCTTGCACATACTTTTCACCCAGAGATTCTTTTCAACCAGAGGCTCTTCTTGCACATACTTTTCGCCAATTGACTTTTCATCCAGAGACTCTTCACCCAGAACCTCTTCTTGCAGATACTTTTCACCCATATACTTTTCACCCAGAGACTCTTCACCCAGAAAGCCTCTAACTAGCTGGCCCATCTATCTGTCCATTGACTGAGCCCAGAAAACTCTAGAAAACCGGACCTAGGGTGATTCGATACCCACCGTCACTGTTTTGCCGCCTGGTACATTACCCTGCAAAACCATACTTACAGCTAGGTAACTTACATTAAAGAACTCCTGCCGGGGTCTCACCATTCCCAACTCCCTAGACAGATAGGTAGATAGATAGATAGATAGATAAAAGATAGCTAGATAGCTAGATAGATAGGTAACTTACATTAAAGAACTCCTGCCGGGGTCTCACCATTCCCAACTCCCTGTAAAGAGCCTTAGACAGATAGATAGATAGATAGATAGCTAGATAGCTAGATAGCTAGATAGCTAGATAGCTAGATAGATAGGTAACTTACATTAAAGAACTCCTACCGGGGCCTCACCATTCCCAGCTCCCTAGACAGATAGGTAGATAGATAGATAGATAAAAGATAGCTAGATAGCTAGATAGATTGGTAACTTACATTAAAGAATTCCTGCCGGGATCTCACCATTCCCAACTCCCTGTAAAGAGTCTTAGACAGATAGATAGACAGACAGATAGATAGATAGATAGATTCCCAAAATGCGGACTGCCGGATCTCGTCCCGCGGGGGTCCGCAAATTCGACCCCACCCACCGCCAAAATCTCAAAAAGCGGACCCCCGTACATAGGTGCACCAACCTGCCCCCGACACCTTCAAAAGTAGTCGCGGTGAGAGTGCTGTGCTTGATCTTCTTCTCACGAAGCCATCTTTGCGCACCCTTACGCAACGTCTCTGCCTCCAAAAAGGCCTCCGTCGCCACATGCGCCCATGGCTTCCGTTTCCGACCACGGCGAGCTTCTTGGTCCGACATCTCTCAGCAACAAATATCACCAGAACACAGCTCATCCGGAATCCAAGTTGCCAACCATGCTACACCAATCCCATTCTACTAATCCTCATTTCCCGCATGGGTCCCTCAAAGGAATTAGATCTAACTCGAAACCAGGAACGTATATTCTTTTGGGATCTTTTAGGGGAGTACGGGGTACTTATGGGATGAAAAACCTCCGGTTCTCAACCAATATAGAAAAAGAATGAAGGGTCAGGCACAAGAACACAGCAAAGCCACAGAATTAAATTCAAATTAAATTCCTTTAGTACGTGGCCAACAGTGGGTAGCCAGAGAGGGGGAATTAAATTCAGATTTAATTCCAATTGAATTTGATTTCCAGCCTTATTTCAAGAAGTTGTTGAGAGACAAGGGGGGAAGCTTAGACATTGAAACCAAGTTGAGATGCATGCAAAAAGTTGTTAAGAGGCCAGAGGTGAAGTCTTGAGACCAAGCGAATGAATGCAGGAAATTGGTGAGAGGCACAAGGGGTGGGAAGTTTAGATATTGAAGCCAGGTGAATGTTTCCAAGTGGGGCACAGAGGCGTGAAGAGTAGAAATTGAGAAGAAGAGGGCAGAATGGAAAGGAGGTGGGAAACCCAATGTGTCACAAGGAGATGGGCGCTGCACTCCGTGGAGAGTATATTGAAGCCCAATGAATGCAGGAAGTTGAAGAAGTTTGATGAGAGGCACAGGGGGGAAAGTTAGATATTAAAACCAGATGAGCGCTAGAAGTTGTTGAGAGACAGGGGAAGCCGAGATATTGTAACTAAATGCATGCAGGAAGTTGCTGAGAGGCACAGGGGCGCAGGAGAAATTCGGATATTGAAACAGCATAAAGGCAAGAAGTTGTGGAGAGGCCAACGGGGGGAAACCGACATATGAAACCAAATGGATGCAGGAAGTTGAAAGGCACATTGGGGGAATAGAAAGTTAGATGTTAAAACAAGATGAGCGCAATAAGTTGCTGAGAGATGACGGGTGAAGCCTAGACTAGACATTGAACCCACATTGGCTGCAGGCAACGAAGACCATCATGGACAGGCAACGAAGACCATCATGGCAAAGAAGTTTGATGAGCTGTCATTCCTGTCACACAGGTTGGAGTTCAAGGCCCCCAGACTGGCTATAACCCTCGCAAGCAGCAACGAACTCACCAGTGACCCAGGATGAGTGTCCAAGTCGGTTCAACCTGTGAGGACAACATTACATGGCACTTCCTGCACAGTTGCATGCTAGCGCACTCTACCGCCCTATTGTCTGAAGAATTGCGATGCAGATGCTGCTAGCGCAGCTCTAGCCCCCTACCGTCTGAAGAATTGCGAGGTGTGGCTCGCGGGCACGAGTGTCCAAGTCGGGTCAAGCTGTGAGGACAACACTACATGGCACTTCCTGCCCAGTTGCATGCTAGTGCAGCTCTAGCGCCCTACTGTCTGAAGAATTGCGATGCAGACGCGCCCTGGAGAATCTACCGAAAGAGGGTATGGCCCAGGCCGAGCAGGAGGGAAGGGTGGTGTGTCACAAGGAGATGGGCGCTGCACTCCGTGGAGAGTATATTGAAGCCCAATGAATGCAGGAAGTTAAAGAAGTTTGATGAGAGGCACAGGGGGGAAAGTTAGATATTAAAACCAGATGAGCGCTAGAAGTTGTTGAGAGACAGGGGAGGCCGAGTAACCAAATGCATGCAGGAAGTTGCTGAGAGGCACATGAAACAGCATAAAGGCAAGAAGTTGTGGAGAGGCCAACGGGGGGAACCGACATATGAAACCAAATGGATGCAGGAAGTTGAAAGGCACATTGGGGGACGGGAAGAGAAAGTTAGATATTAAAACAAGATGAGCGCAATAAGTTGCTGAGAGATGACGGGTGAAGCCTAGACTAGACATTGAACCCACATTGGCTGCAGGCAACGAAGACCATCATGGACAGGCAACGAAGACCATCATGGCAAAGAAGTTTGATGAGCTGTCATTCCTGTCGCACAGGTTGGAGTTCAAGGCCCCCAGACTGGCTATAACCCTCGCAAGCAGCAACGAACTCACCAGTGACCCAGGATGAGTGTCCAAGTCGGTTCAAGCTGTGAGGACAACATTACATGGCACTTCCTGCACAGTTGCATGCTAGCGCACTCTACCGCCCTATTGTCTGAAGAATTGCGATGCAGATGCTGCTAGCGCAGCTCTAGCCCCCTACCGTCTGAAGAATTGCGAGGTGTGGCTCGCGGGCACGAGTGTCCAAGTCGGGTCAAGCTGTGAGGACAACACTACATCGCACTTCCTGCCCAGTTGCATGCTAGTGCAGCTCTAGCGCCCTACTGTCTGAAGAATTGCGATGCAGACGCACCCTGGAGAATCTACCGAAAGGGGGTATGGCCAAGGCCGAGCAGGAGGGAAGGGTGAGGTCCAGCAGGAGGGTGTGCAGGTCCAAAAGAAGGGTAGCCATCTCCAAAAGAATTGTAGTAAGGTCCAATAAAAGTGTCCAGGTCCAAAAGAAATGTAACGAGGTCCAAAAAAAGTGTTTTCCATAACCATCACCATTTAGAGCTTTATTATGGGTTACCACATTACTACAACATAATTCATTGATATCAGAGATCATTGTGCCTGTTCCATCCCTGGTGGGACCCTGAACTTGGCGCTAACGAACTTGGATCCAACGGATCCCCTTTAAGTCGTGGCCTGATCCTCCATAGCCATGTTATCCGGTCATATTCCAACATGTGATCCCAATGAAAAATGGATTGGTTTAAGGGAAAATCTTAACCGGAAACCATGGTTTTTACCACCAAATATAGGGTTTTCCGGTTAAAATTTTCCCTTAAACCAATTCTATGAAATGTGTATTTTCCTATCGATCCCATTGAGCTTTCGGTTCGCTGCAGGAAATTGGGAGCCGCTCTTCAGGGAACCCGAGATCTTCACGACACTGCAGGGATGCAAAGTCATGGACTTCTGCCCCCCGGCGCACCAGTTTGGATCGCCCGTTTGGTTCGAGGATTTCCCTATGACCATCCTCAACAATGACAATAATCTGGGTAAATTATAACGACCTCACTGCAACCTCACTGGAATCATGGTTAGTAAGGGAAATCATCCCCAAATGGCCTTAATTCAGGTTAGTGAAATATTATAATTTACCCAGAATAATAAAATAATATCCCTAGGATAATAATGATAATTTCCTATATCCCTATGATATTTCATTTTTTCCAGGACTGTCCCTAGGATTTCCATAGTAAAATGGAAGTTTTAACCAATGACAATACGCATGTAGGCATGTCTAGGGCTAGGGATATTATTTGATTGATTGGTGTTAGAAATTGGGATGTAACTGGAAATGCCAGCTGGAACTCCCCAAAGTAGCAATGGCGGTTTATAGCTGGGAAAATCACCAATGTGGGATTTTCCAGCAAACCATGTTTCTGATTACAAGAGCATTTTGATGGTGAATTTCCATCGCAAACTGTGAAAAAAAGTACGAGAGGCTACAAGTTTCTGGTTGGTGGTTTCAAACATTTGTTATTTTCCATTTCATATATGGGATGTCATCCTTCCCATTGACGAACTCATATTTTTCAAGATGGTTATTGCACCACCAACCAGGTTTTTTGAAGGGAGATCGTGGGATATCAACATAAGGCCTACAGCCATGATTTCAGCGGCCCCAGAATAACCACCCAGTTTTGGTGGGGGATACCGCAAGTCCAGGGCCTTCAAGAGGAATAATACCTGTATGTGTATACTGTGTATATATAATACACATTATGTATGCAACATATATATATACATAAAACACACATATAACAGCGAAATCCCCATGTGTGTATATATATATACTTATAATACTTACATATATATATATATATATATATACCCTGGGGAGTTTTGCGGTATGGCCTAAGAATAGACCCACTTTGCTTTTCGTGGACACAAAGCAGTGATTCGACCATTCAAAAGGTCAAGATTCGCTAGGAAAATGCCCCATTTATAGATGGAAAATCTACTATGTATAGATGGTTCATTGGATTTAATGGACTGAAACGACTGGATCTTTGGATCTGGATTTTGGGATTTTAATGGGATTTAACCTTTGGTAATTAATCTATGGTTAATCTATGGTGAATTATGATTAATGATGGTTAATAATGGTTAATAATGCTTAATGATTGTCAGTAATGGTTAGCAATGGTGATTGATGGAATATACCCTCTGGTAAACTAACAGTTTGCTATTGAAAATGGACATTGACATAGATGATTTTCCCATTAAAATGGTGATTGTCCATAGTTATGTTAGTTTACCAGAGGGTAGATGACATGATATCAAATCCGATCGTGATTCTGAAGGGTTGCCATGATTATTTAAACTCACAATGTTGGTTCATGTTTTTTCTCTCCGTGCCACCCACTGCTACTGCCATGTTTTCGCGACACATGGGGGTTCTGCTAAGAGTCGCATTTTCTTATAACAATTTCTAAAAAACATGATTGAGCTCATACCCTGTGTGCTGGCATAATGCCAATGGTTTGTATTCAAAACTACTTTTGGCCAAATGGCCTGTCACAAATTGGAAACATTTGGAGCACAACGGAAAAACAAAAACGACTAGGTTGCGTGGTCCCAGCGTGGTCCACGCGTGGAAATCCCAAACTTTGCCGTGGAAATCCTAAACTTTGCCGTGTTCAGATGATGTCAGGAGATAATTCATTACATGGGGGCGTTGGCTTTCCATGTAATGGCAGTACCGGTTGGATCTCGGCGTTCCCTCTATCACGCGTGCCGCCCACGAATTGCTCGGAGCGCTGGAGCATGAGGATGCCCGTGCCTCACCAAAAAAACAAACTGTCTGCAGCTGTCCCGCAGGAAGCAGTCAGTTCGCGGAGGAAAGAATGGGGTGCTTTGCGGGGCTTATTTGGGGCACCCTTGATGTGACACAACAAGGATTTTAAGCTGCATACATAGGTCCTGTGGGCTGTTTTGCTCAGGGTTTAGGCCGCTGGCTGGCCACAACACCTTTTGCTGTGCTTATGGAAAGGGTAAGCACTAATATGTAAGTTTTCCGCAGTGTTTCAGTCCTTCCAGATCCCTTTTTCGGCATTTGAAAGCTCGAGGTAAACTCCAGGCTTGTTCCAACACATCATGGGTGAATCACAGCAATTTATTCGTGGAAACATGTCATTCCACCTCCTTGTCTACCCAATTTCCACCCCAAAACGTACCTGGATGGTCAAGTGACATGGATTTGTCCAAAGAATGCATGAAACATACCCCAAAGTTGGCACCAAACAAATGGGGAAACATGAGCTCTCATCAGGTAATTTAACAGTTTGCTGCAGCAAATTACCAAGTCAATAGATAGTTTATCTGTAAATCCCGACATTTTCGGGTACCAGACCCCAAAATTCCCAGCAACAGCAAGCAACACCTGCATTGGTACCCCAGGCCCCAGAAACAGACTACTTGGAGGATCATCCCACCGAGCGAAGATCGTCATTTTATGGGATTTAACCAACAAAAATGATGATTTAATGGGATTTAACTGGCTAGTAACTGGGGTTATAAGAACAAGTAACTAGTTCGATATATTTGCCACAAAAAATAGCATTCAGCTAGTTATGCTTGCCAACTTAGCTACGGGGCATCAATGCATCAATGGGGATAAATCATTGATCTTAGTTGAGTCTTAGTTGTATATACGTGTATATATATATATACCATGAATTGTCCCCATTGTAATGATGGTTTCCCCCATGTTTTTACCCGGTGATTGATGATCTCCCACTCATATCCAACTAAGTTGGTAAACATGACTGGAAAACTAACTAACTAACTAGCTAAATTCTATGGTTTATGATGGTTTATGCTATATATATATATGTTAAGATAGGGAAGTATCACTAGTTCAGTAGGATTTTGTGTTTGTTTTTTGTTGTTTCTTTTCAGGCGTTTCTAAATATAAAGGAAATAACCCAACAAACACAGCTGTGGGTGTCGGCAACAGCGGTAGTATCCCCTGATTCGAAGGCTACGAGCTCGAACATCAGATGCTTCCAGTGGGCGTGGACATCATGACGTGGCTTGATGCCCAATGGAACTACACTCACTGTTGGGTTTAATGGTAGATATATCTATAGTTGAAAGCGTTTGCCAAAATATGATATTGCGGGCAATATATCATATATATCCCACTACATTCTACCTATAGACATAAATTATACAGACATGTATCCCTCACTCTCTCTCTCTCTCTGTGTATATATATATACACACATATACATTCATGCAGATCTCTCCCCATTGATTGTTTACTATAGGGGGTTATATCCATGGACTGGGAGTCTCACCCTCAACTGGCCAGTATAAAAAGGATCAGAGAGGGTTTTGCACACTGCGAATTGGGGTGTTTTGTTGGTTTTCCCTCTGAGAATGACCAATAGCTGGGATTATTTTTTGGGGGGTTATGCATTTTGGTAAATTGTCAGATTCCATTTTTGGATTTTTGGGGGGACACCCTACTCAGAAGAACCAAGATATTGCTGAGAAAGTCCGAGTAGAATCGATAGAATTATTTCTGCACAATGGAATAGGCTCTGGCCAAGAAATATTATGGCATATTGGATAAGTCAACAAGCTGGGGATGCTGGGCTAGTCCTCATATCCCGGTGGGGCATTGGTCCCTTATTAGGGGCATCGCTTGTTTGAAATAGGTTATCCCTATCACAATTACTTATCGTGATAAAGAATAAGTTATAATCATGACTGATCGTAGTGATTCACAATTAGTCGTAATTAATCATAATTGGCTTGCATTAGTCGTGGTGACACTCGCAATCCTATCATAATTGATTATACTTGATCATACTTAGTGATAATGAATCATGATTAAGTATATATACATAATATCTTATATCATATATATATATATATACTAATCATGATCATTTTATTGATCATAACTGATGACTACTCATCAAGACAGCTGCCATGAAATGGGTACCAAAAATGTCCGAGGATGAACACGGAGTACGGCGAGGGCCAGGCGTCGGTATCCCGCGGAAAGTCCAAGACAGACATGCTGTGTGTTTTTTTTGACGATCCGAAATGCTCACTGTTTATCTCAATCAGATATATTAATATATATTAATATAGTATATCTCAATATATAGTATATCTATGTATATCTGAACTTCACTTCACTTTGTCTATGGAAAAATCTCCGAATGATAGTTTCATGAAGCCTATATAGTACTATAGGTTGGTGGCAAAAAAAGGCACTGTTTCCTGCAGATTTTCCACCAATCCATCGACGAGGAATGGGATGATGGGTTCCATACATGTAATCCATAAACCACCTTCGCTAGGTGGAAATCACCTTCGCTCCCCGCTTTGGCATTGAAGCCGCTGCAGCCTGGCCTCGCTATGGGATATGGGGCCCAAAGCATCCAGTCGTCATGGATAACCATGACTTAGTATTGAAACACCCATTGTGACTTGGGGTACCCCCCCATTGACAGGAAACCGTCAGAGAAATCATAGAAGTTCATGATAGTTCATGATATAATTCATATAAATTTTGGCGCTGGATTGACATCTTGAGAAAAATATGTTTTGTGAATGTCTAAATATCGAACATCAGATAGAAAGTTGAGAAATCCAATTGGTTCCATCAGATGCTCCACGTAGAGAATGCATACCCTCTGGTGAACTAACAGTTTGCAATTGAAAATGGTGATTTATAGTGGATTTTCCCATTAAAAATGGTGATTTTCCATTGCTATGTTAGTTTACCAGAGGGTACTTACATTTTGGATCAGTCTTGTTTTTTCTAAGTACTGTTGATGCATATTTGGTTTTGTCGAACGCTGTGTGTGAAGATTGTGGGATTTACCAGCAAGCGCCAGTGGGAAAACGATGCCGTACATGTTATTCTCATGTGAGTTTGTCTGAAATTAGGGTGCCCCTAAAACAGCTGGCGACCAATAATTTTGCATATATTAGAAGAAAAACACATGTTGGAAGTAAAATCCCTATTTTCAGACAGTCTCAAATCCTACCTTGTTGGTTGCATCCCCAGTGTACATCCCCATCAAATCAAACTGTGGATTCTTGCGAAATCCTGCATCAGGGTAACTATTGGTAACATTTCACTCAACGCTGTAGATTTCATGGGACTGACTATATGAATATATATATATATATACTGTGAGGCTCACAGTATAATAAATCATCTATCTACCGGCGCAGGATTCGCCATCCACAGTATCACTATACTTCGTAGTGAAACCGTTCACGTTGGACCCATTCTGAATTACCACGCATTCACAGTATCATAATATATATATATAGTGAAATTACTATTTAACAGTTATCACCATGGAAATTATCACGTTAATATAGTGAAATCATTCTTTCCATCAATTTCTCCAATGCGAAATAATCATAAATAATCTATATTTACATCCACAGTATCGCGGTATCACTATAATGGACTGCCCTTTGGTAAACATACAAAAAGCTCTGGAAAATAAGCATCTTTAAGTTCGGTGAATCAACGAACTAAATGGGCAATGTTCAATAGCAAACTGTAACAAATTACCGGAGGGTATACTATCCATATGTTGGCTGATGGTTCATATTAACCATTATTAACCATTACTAACCATGAATAACTATCATGAACCACTAATTATTATATCAACCACCATTAACTATCATTAATCATTATTAATTAACCATCATTAGCCATCATTAGCCATCATTAGCCATCATTAGCCATCATTTATCAACCATTATTAAAATTATTAACTTTCAATAACCTTAGATGTCTAGTAGCACTCCATCGTTTTGGCCAAAATATTGGAGACAATGGGCCACGACTGAGGACATGACAGCGACTTTCAGACTGGGCACAAAGGACCTGGCAGTTTCTGAGGGCAAGTTTGGTTCACACAGGAAATTGAAAAACCAATGAAATATGATGACATATGATGACATATGTATATAATAATAATGTAGTATCACCCTTTTCGTGGGGTGTAAGCATGGGGGACGTTCAAAAAATGCAAGCAACAATTTTGACCCCTTCGTATTTTTTCCCGATGGGGAAGGCTATATGTATGTTAGACCCCTCCTACATCAAAAACCGCGCCCCGGAAGATTTACATTTGGGGGGTGGGTTGAAAGTCCGCAAGAGATACGTCACCCGGTACCCCCCTCCGAACCCCCCCCCCCCCGTACTCTACGGATAGGGGGGTTGGGGGTAGGTAAAAACTGTTAAATGTCCACAAGCAGTTTGTAAACTGTTTGTGAAGTGTCTTTGTGGGGATGTAATCAACCTATGTCTGAGGTCCATAGTTCCTTGCGGAAAGTGTTCGAAAAAGAAGGTAAAACTAAGATAGAAGAATGTAACCATCCTGCACTTGAGGTCCTTAATTCCTTGCAGAAAGTGCTCAAAAAAGAAGGTGGAGATAAGATAGAATCATGTAACCATCCTACACCTGAGGTCCTTAATTCCTTTCAGAAATTGCTTAAAAAGAGGGTAAAAATGAGATATATAGACAAATGTAACCATACTACACCTGAGGCCTATAATTCCTTGCAGAAAGTGCTTAAAAAAGACGGTAAATACAAGATTTAAAAAAACACCATCCTATACATGAGGTCCATAGTTCCTTGCAGAAAGTGCTCGAAAAAGAAGGTAAAGCTAAGATTGAAAAAATTAACCATCCTACACCTCAGGTTCAACAGTTCCTTTCAGAATCAACATGACACACCAGCATGTGTAGATTGTTATTATATATTATGGTTGGAGGGTCATAAGGGGGGCTAGATAGGAACCGTGGCAGAAGGGTGTTTAAGTTCGATCATGTAGGTACATAAAGGGGGTTTACCATGGGGACCCCACAAAGGTTCATTTGAGGTCCTTTTGAGGCCCATTTGAGGTCCATTTGAGATCTTTATGTGTATTCTATTGTTTTTTTCCATAGGTAGGAGGTAAATTTGAAGACCTTCAACATCTAATTTTACATTTATTTGAAGTTCAAGGATTTTCCAGTAATTTGCAAGGAATAATATACCTTCTGATTTCTGCAATTTTTGATTTTCTGCAATTCTGCAGCTATTTTCAGACCTTCACACTACAATTTTACATGTGATTTTCATTTTCTTGGATTTTTTCAAAAATGCAATCGGACATCTTGAACGCCCCCTGCATGTTTTAAGAAAAACTCATTAAATCCCGTAAAGAGTGAGGGAACCTACTAAAATGAAATCTTGCAAATAGAACGCAGTTAGAAAAATAAATGCTTGCTGACATTTACCAGGCCCCCCTCCCTCAAAAACGTCTAAATTGTGTCTTGCAATTTGGGTACGTCCCCTCCCTTAAAAGGGCGGGGGTTCGCTTAGGGCGTAAATTTTGGCTCGCTTAGGGCGTAAATTTGGTCTCGCTCCGGGCGTAAATTTGGTCTCGCTTAGGGCATAAAGTTGTTCCATAGGCACCGTGGCAGGCGCAGCACAAGAGCGAGCAAGTAATACCGGGTGCCAAAGGGCAACTCTGCATATAGTGTCTCGTTCACTTCATGCTGTGATGCCTTAACGTTTTGTTCTGGCATATCTAAAAGTAACTGTGCTCCTCGTGTCTCGTTGAGTTCATTGTCTGATTAGTTGACTTGATATACGGCGCATCTAAATGCAACTCAGCTGGGTGTGCTTCGGTGTGCAACAACATATAAACCCTAAAGGTGTCGTGGCCCTTCTTACATTAAGTGCGACAACATATAAACCCTAAAGGTGTCATGGGCCTTCTTACACTAAGTGCAATAACAGAGACATCCTAAAGGTGTCGTGGCTCTTCTTACATTAAGTGCAACAACACAACATATAAACCCTCAAGGTGTCGTGGCTCTTCTTACATTAAGTGCAACAACATATGAACCCTAAAGGTGTCGTGGCCCTTCTTCCATTGAGGGCACCTACATATAAACCCTAAAGGTGTCGTTAAGTGCAACAACATACAAACCCTAAAGGTGTCGTGGCTCTTCTTACATTATGTGCAACAACATATAAACCCTAAAGGTGTCGTGGCCCTTCTTACATTAAGTGCAACAACATATACACCCTAAAGGGGTCGTGGCTCTTCTTAGATTAAGTGCAACAACATATAAACCCTAAAGGTGTCGTGGCCCTTCTTACATTAAGTGCAACAACATATAAACCCTAAAGGTGTCGTGGCTCTTCTTACACTAAGTGCAACAACATATAATCCCTAAAGGTGTCGTGCCTCTTCTTGATGGCCACAGTGACCCTTTTTTGCTGAAAGTGAGTCCATTTATGCCTTAAGTGAGCCCAGATATGCCCTAAGTGAGCCCAGATATGCCCTAAGTGAGCCCAGATATGCCCTAAGTGAGCCAGATATGCCCTAAGTGAGCCCATTTTTTGCCCCAAGTGAACCTCGAAAATTTGTGCCCGAAGTGAGCCCGAATTTATGCCCCAAGTGAGCCCCTCGCCCCCTTAAAAGGGTAGTGATAATATAGTATGCATAATATATAATTGTATATGTATATAGTTATTGTGTATATATATATATATATGTAGACATAGATATATACATATGAAGGTATTATATGTGGATATATGCGGATATATTGTGCATATACATATATAGACCTTCAATATCATGGACTTGTTCCATCAATGATATTTACAGATTACAAATACATCAGGAGGAAGAAAGTTTCTTCCCGTTTAGCATCTTATAAACCTCATGATCCTTAGCCGCGGATCAATTATCCTCATTTGGCGTGGCCTGCGTGGCGAATCGTATTTCAAGTCGTAATAAATTAAAACCTTTGTAAAGCAAACCAGCTGATCCGCGATCCGCCATGTGATTCATATGAAAGCTTTGCTAGGGGATCTCTTTTTGAAATGGGGCCATCACCAATGTTGGGGATTATAGGTTGTGAGTTGCACGACTGTCCATTTGTTCCTATACTTACAGTTGTGAATCTCTGCCAATTGTCCTTGCTGCATATGCTGTCCAAGGAGATTCTGACAGGGGACTCGGTGGAATGCCAAATTCCCGGAGGATGGGGAGCTGCAGGAAGCCCGAATGACAGGTTTCACCAATTCCTCCATGTCCTGACCAAGACTTTCGCCAAAACAGCCGTGTCTTCGACATCCGACTTCGATTTGAGGGCTGCCCGTTATCAGCTGCAGCAATCAGTGCAGTCTTCTCTTACGGTCAAGTGCTTTGGTGCAGAAATTCTGAAGTTTGTAGATTTTTCTCCTTTGAACCATTGCACAGTGAAAGGGGAGAGGGTTGCAGCAGCTAGTGAAGAGGAAAAGCTTTTGTCCTGGTGTTGCGTTATTTTACACCTGCAGCATTGCCTAGAAAAGAAGACCTAAAATCGCGCGCATGCAGGTCAATGTTGAGCACGACAAGTTGAAGCACTGTGTGAGGCTGAACATGCTCATGAGAACGCAACTCTTTCTAGTTGAACATGTTCATCAAAAGAACAAAATTGTTTAGTGGAAAATCTCCACGTTATTTTACACCTGCGGCATTGCCTAGAAGAGAAGACCTGAAATCGCGCGCATGCAGGTCAATATTGAGCATGACAAGTTGAAGCACTGTGTGAGGCTGAGCATGCTCATGAGAACACAACTCTTTCTAGTTGAAAATGTCCATCAAAAGAACAAAATTGTTTAGTGAAAAATGCCCATCAGGAGGAAGAAAGTTTTTCCCGTTTAGCGTCTTATAAACATCATGATCCTCAGCCGCGGATCAATTATCCTCATTTCGCGTGGCCTGCGTGGCGGATCGTATTTCAAGTCGGAATAAATCAAAACCTTTGTAAAGCAAACCAGCTGATCCGCGATCCGCGATGTGATTCATATGAAACCTGTGAGGAGTCTAAGGGGAAAGAGTTGCGGCAGCCAGTCAAGAGGAAAAACTCTTGTCCAGGTGTTGTATTTATATATATATAATTATGTGTACATATGTACAACACTACGGTATGTGTGTGTGTCTGGAAATGTGGCATACCCCCAGCTGTGGCCATTAAATCATGGGGAAATGATTTTTCATCCATGGATGAAATTGAAATTTCCGTGAATTTTCACAAACCCAAGTAACTGATGATTCACTTTCGAGTTCGATTGTTATGGTATAGGATTGCCACAGTAACTATCATAATTGACCCGTCCTTTTTTATTGTGTTTTGTTTCCCACCATATGTCAGAAAATACGACTTGGTACGTGACGTGCAAAGCTGAGCACTTGTAAAAAAAAATGGTGTCGCGGTTTGTTGAATAAAGAACTGGTGCCCAGAATCATCAAATTCGTGAATGTAGAAGGGAATGCAATCCCACATGCTAAATCTGATGCGTGGGTTCCTTTATGTGATTCAATTTGGAGTTGTGTTTTGCAAGCGCTCAATCCACGGAGCATGGTGGTATGGTTGAGGTCCTTGGATATGCACCACGGTTGATTAGTGTGTGCGTGTGTGAGGTTTAAACATGCTCTAAAGTTTAAAGTTTAAACATTTTTTAATAGGACAAAAGGACATATAAGATTATATACATATATATATATATACAATTATATACACATATCATACAGTTATGTTTTTTTTGTCAACGTGGTGTGCTATTTCCCACATAAAAAACATTAATATTTATATATATATACCGTGAGAATCGTCACATTTCCGAGGAAAGTAGTCTTCTAACTCCCGGCTCATGGCAGGGTCTATGTTAGGGGGGATTGACATATGGGTTACAAATAGTCATCACAGGTTATAACAAATTCTTACCTACAAATTTATATACCAATGAAACTCATTATACCCATGTTACAACTGAGTCATAACATATTCTATGGGCAAATCACATCGCAACAAATCGCAACATTTTCACGCAGGAGATTGCTCAGCAGATGGGTTTGCGTGCCACGTTCATGGCCAAACCTTTTGGCATCAGCGGCTCGGTTGGTGAAAGGTTTCCCATAGCAATGGTTACGTTACCCTCTGGTTATTTCACCGTTTGCTATGGAAAACCCCCATTTTTTTAAGGTAATTACATATAGATAATCATTATATACATGGGCCATTTTCCATAGCTATGTGAAATAACCAGGTGGTAAAATTTGTTTGGGTATGTCTACGTAAATCATACCCCATTTGACCTCACGCATAGATGATGCTTTAGGATTGGGGAAAATCATCCCCAAAGGGTTTGAACTAATCTGGTTCAGGAAACATTGCAATTTTCCCAGAACTTAACTATTAACGCGTTCTGTCTTTATGGAGGTTTCAATTTGTCCCAATCCGGTTCAATATATTCCAATATTGTTCCATATTTTTTCTGGGAACCAATCTTCAACCCGCTATGTAGCAGGGTCTATGTCATCTTGCTGGAGGGACTGGATGGCATATGTTTCTCAAATATTTTCGGATAATTATTTGTTCACAATCTTCAGGAGTCATCTAAAAATTTAAACGCGTGTGGAAGAGCTACGTCAGCATTCCCCAATGAACAAACTAGATGGGACTTCAGCCCTCCAAAATGTGATGTTTATTGTTGGATTTGCCACATAGATAACCATATGAATAGCTGAGTTAGTTCGATGGAATATTCCCTCGTAGTCGATATGGTGGGGTGATCACCACTTCCTGAAAGGCTTGACTACAGTACTGGCCGAAATGGATCGAAATGGCACATTGGACCGTTGCGATTCTTCCCCAATGTTTGATGGGGAGTTTATGGAGGCCTTCGAAGGCCCCCATCATTATAGGAATAGGAAAAATCATACTTTGTTGTGATAATTTCATTAATTTACAATGAACTATGACCATTTACAACATCATCATGAAGGATGAACAATTACATCAGACTACCACTTTTAGCATAGGAAAATGATGTGATAAACTCAACAATGATCAATCCCACCTAGTTTGGGACGAGTTGCGGCTCATCGAAATCTCACAAATATGTTATGTTTGTAACTTTGTTTTAAAAAGATCCTGCATGGTTTTGTCCGAAACTAGCGTGCCCCGTTCCATCCACTGGTTCATCATCACTTTTCCCTTCAAAGCATATGCTATATTAATCCCCAAACAGATAGAACCATATTTCCAGGATGATTTCAGATGATCTTTTCCCCGCAATGTGATGCAATATATTTTGTGGTGCCTGCGACACCTTGGGACCTTGGGGGTTATCATTGATCCACCCGGCTATCCTCCAAGAGCTTCCAGGTGGTGTGGGCAACGGTGGACATCTGAACTTCTCCATTTGGGCACCCAGCGGCACCTTGCGAGACACTTGGCGGGGAGGAATATTTGTGCGGCGGGGGAGCATCCGAAGGCTGAGATAGTCATTCCGGGTATATGTTGATTGTAGACGCTTGCTCGAGTATGACTAGCAAAAATAAGAAGACTCAGAAGAAAAGACTAATGCAATAGAATTTTTAGTTTTGAACCAAGATTGGGGGATTACATTCATGGTAAGCCCTCAAACATGCAGAAGCCTCAGCTTTTTCTCAGCGCTTCTCAGCTCTTCATAGCTTTTCTCAGCTTTTCTCAACTCTTCTCATCTTTTTCTCGGCGCTTCTCAACTCAGCTCTTCCCAGCTCTTTTCAGCTCGCCTCAGCCCTTCTTAACTTTTCTCAGCTCTTCTCAGCTCTTCTCAGCTCATCTTATCCCTTCTTAGCTTATCTCAGCTCTTCTCAGCTCTTCTCAGCTCATCTTATCCCTTCTTAGCTTATCTCAGCTCTTCTCAGCTAATTGAATGTCCGTACCACGGAACTTCTCTCCTGTAAGGACTCCTTGCCAAGAAAGCTGATCAGGAGTTAACATCCCATTTATAACTCTTGTCTTAAGGGCCATAACATGCCATAATCGTACTCTACCATGGTTTCCAGGGGCTGTTTAATGTGGGGGGAAGGGGATTCATGTGGACCTGTTGACCTTAAGCGATTCCTTCCCCAAGGAAGCCGAGAAGGGCGGTGCCTCCGCGGTCTCCAAGATGACATCAGGGAAGACGAGCCTCGGAGGGCTATTTCTATGGCAGGAAAAAAGGAGTTCAGAGTATCGTTATCACTATGAGTATCAACATAACAATAACAGAATTAAATTGTTATCATAATATAGTTATCATAATTATCATTGTACCCATAATTTGCTGTATTATGACTATATTAGGCTTTATCATTATTGTCATTCTTGCTAAATTATATATGCATAGTGTTTGGTTGATCATGTCCATTTTTATACGCGTTTCCAAGTTTTTTGGTCTTTTCATTCATCCAGGGTGATCGGGGTTTTGGGGACCGGCGCAAGGCCGAATGCTTTTGCGGATGGGTTATTGGTACAGGGCCAGAGTTTCATATGTGATAATCAATAAACCAGTAACCCATGGTGATATGATCAAGTTGAAGTGGCAAAATTATCCGTGTAACTGTCAACTGGACCAGACAGTAGTCTATGCACCGGAAAAAAACGCACCCCAGGAACGTCTTCCATTCGCCGGAACATGGTTTGTCCAGCACAGCCAAAGCATTCTTGGCAGGCAGGGTGAGAGCGGTGGGTGTGAGGTCAAAAAGACATGTCAGAGGAATCCTGTCCCCCTAATAGTAAGTAACCCCAGAAGCCCCTGTTTTACCATGAAATTTTGGTGGTTTCAAATGGGCTCGCATTTTCAACCATGGAAATTGGATGATGATCCCCTGTTTTACCAATATTCTACCATGAAATTTTGCGGGGTTGAAACCACCAACCATTGGATCTATTCTTTTTGGGTGGTATTAACATGTTGTATGAGATTAGTTCTTCAGATCATCACATGGTTTTTGTCGGACCATGAGTACCACATACTGATAGCTTTTAGGCCCCAAGTTTGACAAACAAATCCCTCCAAGCTGATGAATTTGGCTTGACCTCTACCCATTTGAAGTCACAGCCCCTTTTCACGGTGAAATCATGTTAAATCCCTATAACTATAGCTTTTGTTTGTCACATCCAGATTGTTTGGTAAGTTAAACCACCCGTTTCTACGGCCCAAATCATGTGAAATCACTATTTATTTAAGTGCTTGCTGAACTTCCCTTGATTTTTCTGGATAAAATTGTCCTTTTGTTGATGTTTGAACGAACCAGTTGAACCAATGCTCTAGAATTGGACCAAGGGAGCATCTACGGAAACACCTGTGTTTATGGTAAAACCATTTCGGGTAAAACACGGCTGACATGCATGTTTTCCCTTCAATCCGTTCAATGTTTATCAACTTGAAGCTTTGTGGATTTAACATATTTAACCTCCATTATCCCGCATTGTCCCCACGATATCATAAAATCACCATTAAATCCCATCAAGTCCCATAAAATCACCATTAAATCACCATCAAATCACCATGAAATCGTTGTTTCCGGGTCCTTTCCACGCGCTTTTCCATAGGTGTCTTGGCCCACGCACCCGCCTTGGAAGCCTTGTGTTCGCCCACGGTGCCCTGCTATTGCCGCCACGGGCGACCCGGCATGGGAATCCTATGGGTTGGGAGGATATTTCACAACAGTAGACTAACATAGCCATGGTTAATGATGGGATATAATGGTTCATACATGGTTAATATGTGGTTAATATATGGTTTATATGTTTTTTTTTTTATTATGGTTAGTACATGGTTAATATATGGTTAATCTATGCTTAATATATGGTTGGTGGTTTCAAACATGTTTTATTTTCCATTTCATATATGGGATGTCATCCTTCCCATTGACGAACTCATATTTTTCAAGATGGTTAAAACCACCAACCAGCCATTATATGATAGGAATTATATAATGGTTAATAATGGTTAATAATGGGAATTATAGTTGACTAACATGAAAATATGATAACTAGTTGTGAAGCACAGCCATTGTTATATTATGTAACCATTATGAACCATTATTTAATCATTGTTATATAACAATTATTTATCATTATATAACCATCATCAAATCCTATTAAATCACTACTGATTGGTGGTTTGGCACATGAATTTTATGTTTCCATATATTGGGAATAATAATCCCAACTGACTAATATGTTTCAGAGGGGTTGAAACCACCAACCAGATAACTAATGGTTGTTACACAGGTGTTATGAACCATAATTATGATAACTAATGGTTGTTACTAGTTAGTTACTATATTTAGTTATATTACGTGATAGATGGTTGCTATAACAACCATAGTTGATACACAGGATATAACCCGACCCCACTGTCCCCATATATATATATATATATACACATACCAACTATGGTTGACTAGTGGTGTATATATATATATATAGTTATAACAATGATAAATGGGATTAATCAGAATGGTTAATAGTGGATTGTGGAATTATAGTGGGATAATAATGGGATTATTGTGGTTAATGATGGTGATTAATGGTAAATAGTGGTTAACAATGATGATTAATATGGAGGTTGCCTAAAATGGGGGGTCCCCAAGTCACCATGGTTGTTTCAACTCTGAGTCATGGTCATCCATTACTTGGATGATTTGGGGTTACCTCCATGACTTTGGAAACCTGCATATACGGTAACTTGGAAATTTCGAGACACCAACTATCCAGATGGCTCAGAGGGGGATCCATATCCCCTCAATCAGGAGCCAGCTGGAGCTACTCAAAGTTTCCCACCATGATAGTTTGTCACCAACGAATGGTTCGCGCGGAGACTTCCAAAATGCTTATAGGTCCTGTTTCCACAGGAATGAAGAATGCCCTTCCGCCTTTTTGTTAATCATAAAATGATCCAAATCTATCAGATCTATATAACTCAATCAGCAGGATGCTGTTCATAAGAAGGATGATTTATCATATTTGTCAGAATCCTAAAGAAGTGGTGGCAAGAAGACACCACGGCAACCACCCCTGAAGAATGATGATTTTTGCAATGAAATCCCAATAATATATAATAATATCCCATTATCCCCCATATGTGTTTGATGGTTATATGCCCTATATGTATATGTATTCCAGTATTCCAACATCCCATTCATGTCCCCATTACTCCTGAATAATTGCTATTGCTGATTGAACCACCAATAGGTTTGCCATTAATATCCCATAATTCAATTGTTGACAGTCATTAGCCTCCCCAATATTTCACCGCATTTCACCATGTGTTCCGTATATTTTGATACGTATTAGTCATCACTATACACCTCCCCCACAACAAACGGGATACTGACGTGATAATACTGGGGGACTAGTCCCCCCCTGTATATTACTTATATATATATATACATACTGATATCATTATCAGTCCATATCAGACCCGTATACTGATACCATTATTTGTTGATAGTCATCAGCAGTCCCATATATTTCACCATTCGCCATAGTTTATATTACGATACTTACTAGCCATTACAAGCCATTTTAGTTCAGAAAAAAAATGGTTGAAATATAACATTTTATAACTATTGTTATACATATATATATATGTATATATACCCCAAAAAAACATGGTTTATTATTAATGTTTATTATAGCTATCTCCTAGTTCTCCCATCTTCATCCCATCGCCGTTCTGCACCCGCCATGCAGGAACTGGGCCCCCGACGTGGCCAACTGGGGCTACGACGACCGCTGCGCCTGTGTGCGGGTGAAAGCGGAGAAGCGCGGGCCGCCGGGCAGCTGTCTCTCGCCGGAAAAATCGGGGAAATCCCAGGGTGGAGCCATGGCCCTCCATAGGAATTTCCAGTACAACCTCGACCCTCCAAATCCTAGAAAAATAAATATAGGTGTTTTCGGAATTTGACCTATATCGACTGATTTTACCCAAACCACCTAGATCTTGGATTTTAGGACTTTGATTGCATGTTTTTGGGTTTGGTGAGACAAAGGCCAAAAAATGTTTGCAGCGCATCAAACGACGGGATAAAACCCGCAAAACCCCGCAAAAAAACCGCAAAAAGACCGCAAAAACCCGCAAAAACACGCAAAAACCCGCAAATCCTGAAATCTCGTTGTTTTAGGTAGTTTTCGGATTTTTTTGGTTGTTCCAAAAATCATCACGGTTTGTGTACCCGGCCGTAGTGCTGAGATTTTCCCAGAAACATACATGTTTGGAACACAGTGATTTTTTTTTTGGTTTGTTTGACCTATCTTCTTAGAACGACCATTTTTTCCTCGGCAGTGGAGGGTCGAGGACTTATAAAGTCTTATTATAAGCCATCCATTTTGGGGATCCATTTTAGGATACCTACATACATAGGAAATGTTTGGGGAATATTCTGATTTGGACGGATTTTTAGGAACATCTATGGAAAACAATGGCAGATGAATTGTGTGACCAATTTTTTCAGGGGTGGTCTATTTTCAGAGGAAACTATCTGGTCTCAGTCATATTCGGTTGTGTTTGGAAATAAATTAGACACCCGCAAGAAATGGCAACTTTAGTAGGAACATATCATATGATTAGACAATGGATTTCGGGGTACTCAGTTTTCCAGACCATGTCTGAAAAACTGGTCACTCACAGGGGAATTTTCACTTAAGAGTGTGTCTTCAACTTGTGTGAAGACTATCTAAGATTAGCTGTCTTGAAGGATTTTCGGACTCGAATTTGGCTGAACAAGATGTACAAAACTAGACCACCACTGGACCACCACCTGCACTTAGAGGACTCGCGTGGAAACTTGAAACTTGAAGTGTAGAACACCATGCATAGTGTTGGACACTTCTTCATGGAACTCAGTTTGAAAATCGAGGGGAGAAAAATAGATGCAATCAGTTTCCCTGTTAGAGCCCCCATAATTTTTCAGACTCACCCAGGTGCATACCCCTATATCCCTTAATATATCCTCATACAGATGGCTTTTGTTTATCCTATGATTTTCCCGTTATTATCCTAGTAATAGTCTAGTAATGCATCAGTTATTTACATAAGAATATACATATATATATATATTGTTCCCGAGAATCCAGTACAAATCCATGTGTATATTCACATATATGTTTTTTTTCCCATCATTGTTGATTCAAGCCCATATATACCATATTATTCCATTAAGATTTCATGGAATAGATCCAAGGATTCTCCCAAGATAAAGACACGATTCGTAGCACGAAGATTGTGGATTATCCCGTGCTCGGTTTCCTTGCGTCCACCAGGGGTTTCATGGATAGTACCCCATTATCCAAACCCAAATCCAATTCATCCAAAGCCATCAAAACCAATCCCAAATTCTATCCCACTGAGTTCACTAAGATTTCATAAAATCACCCATAAAATATAGTGGGATTGTCTCCACAGTCTCCACTAATCCCCACCATTCATTCACCAGCCATTCATCCATCAAATTTCTCCCATGAAATTTCATGAAATCACCCAGTTCTTTTCACAGACCCTGGCAGAAGCCGAACCTAACTGAGGTTACATGGAGCTCCGCATGCCTTCCTCAGCAGCCAATCCCTACCTGGCATCCTGGCGTCGTGTCCCATGGGATTTCCATGAAGATTTCCTCTGGGATTTCCACGGGTTTTGAAGGAGATGAAACATCATATCTTGTTGGAATTTGATGAGATTTGTTCCGTGGACATCATTGGATCCTTTTGGAAATTCTGGGGGATTTTACTGGCATTGAATGGATCTGGAATTACATACTTGGATTTTATTTGGAATGAATGGGCCGTTAATTAGATTTCTTAGGATCCTACGCGGATTCATGTGCTTTCACTAGGATTGAATGGGATTTTGAAATGGATTTCAGCTGTTTTTGGAATTGATGGGATTTTGAGTGGATTTCAAAGGATTTCATGGGATTCTTCTTGGATTTGGGGTTGAATCAGTTAACAAGCATCAAGATTCCATTTATGATCTAAAAAAATCATGTCTACACGCCTCTTCATCTGTATCCAATATACAAATGATGGCATCAGTTCATACTTCTGTGGCATTGATTGTTTGCCTCATATATTTCCACCATATTTGCTCGCCCCGGTCAACCTTTGGAGGACATTTTATGGCCCCCATTTTCGCTTGTCAAGTCCACCATTTAAGTGGAAATCTATGTAGATGCTTAAAAATCACGATGATTGGTTTCAAAAGTGAGAACAACTATCAGTTATCAGGCAAACATTTCAGGAAGCGATCTCGGATATCTCTGCTAAACAGTGGGGAAATGGCAACATAGCCAGCAAGCGTGGGCATGGGTATCTAGCTGGTTGTATATCTCATAGGTATTGCTAAAAAACAGGTATCCCCAAATCCACTGATGAATCATCATTTTCGCAACTACAATCATGCAATGTTGGAGGTCCCTCTTTTCAGACCCAACGGGCAACAGCATGTGGCAGGGACAAAGATTTGACACTTGGATTGCATACGGCATACGTGGCTCAACTTTCCTTGACACAGAGAACTGGCTACAAGAGATCCCTGCGCAGTGATGAATGCTGCGTTTTCCTGCCCCAACTATACAGGTCACCAGCAGGGATACAACTTTCACGTCACCGGTGACGTCTTCAGTTTGGTCAAAGCCATGCTGGGCGCAATCGAATATCAAGCAAACTCCACCGCATTTCCATGGCAATGTCTACCTGGCCTGCAACAGCGACTATATTGCAGACGTTGGCCGACCTGCTTGACCTTGTAATATGTCGTGATCATCCCATTTGTATCCAATTGTTAATGAAAAGAGCATCAATCATCCCATTTTCCATTGAACACATCATTCAATTCCCAATTTTCGGACAAACATGGACCAACCCAAATCGTTCATCCAAGTCATCGATCGTTGATTTTCGAGGGGGCACCAATAGATGTGGGTTTCTAGTTTGTTTTTAATACTGTTTTTTCCATGATTGCTGGTCAGTACCCCCATTGGTACCGTTAACTCATCGTTAATATCCACAATGTTCACAAGGAAGAACTCCATATTGATGAAATGTAATATCATGAATTGCAGCCCCGTAAACTCCCAACTGTACACTCATTAAATCACCAGAATAATATGGCGATAATCACGACTTTGGGTAGAAGAAAAATCAAAACGTAATTATTGTTGGCCAATTACCACATCTTATACAGTCTTATCCCTTCATGTGCTACATCCCATTGGATCTGTGGTTTTGTAGTGTGTGTGTGTGGTTCTTCATATTTGGTCGGTTCTTCCCCATGTATCCCAAAGTATCCCGAAGATGGTGGTGATTATCCCATCAAATACCATGGATACGTCCAATGTCCATGAGTGTTCTCAGCATTTTCATCATGTTCGGGATGTTTATCTCATAGTTATCCCATATTTATCTCATGATATTCCATTGTAAACCAGTATTTCCAATCAAAAAAATGTGTTTCCAACTCTTTCACCATACTGATATAAATCTATAAGTTGGTTAGTTATTATCCTAATTTGGCCTATCCAAATAAATCCCAATAAGTGTTATAATTATACGCACTGAGCGGTAATATACCATATGTAGTTTTATAGTTACTTGCTGTAATGACCTTACTTATATCATATGTACTTATATCATATCGTTATTAAAAGGATGACCATGACATATGAAATATAAGTGCATTTGCCATGGCATATAACCACTTTTACATATATATATATATTATAACTATAACCATTTTTACATATATATATATGAATATTTACATATATATATATATGAATATATATATATATACAGATAGTAAGTTTCAATAGCCATGATTTCACCCTTTTTCCATTCCAAATCTCCCGGTTTTCCCAGGTCATTGCCGGCTTGGTGGCTGCAGGCCTGGACGGCCTGCAGCGGAAGTTGGAGCTGCCACCGGAGCGACAGAGCAAGGAGCGGACACTCCGCAGTCATGGAAAAATGGGATTTTACCATCTGGTAAACTAACATAGCTATGGAAAATCACCATTTTTAATGGGAAAACTCACTATTTTCATGGGTGAATAGTGGTTAGTAATGGTTAATAGATGTTAATAGTGGTTCATATAACCATCAGCCAACATCTGGATAGTATATTTAATGGATTTTAATGGGATTTGATGGGTGTTTAATGGGGATTTTAATTGGGATTTAAATAGGATTTAATGAGATTTCATGGGATTTTCATGGGATTGACCCTCTGGTAAACTATGATAGCTATTGAAAATCATTATTTTTAATCGGTTAAACCAACTATAAATCACCATTTTCAGTAGCAAACTGTTCGTTTACCAGAGGGTACCTCATGGACCCCGTTCAATGGGTTAAACCAGGTTGAGCCTCATTTCGCATGACTTACGAACAACCCAAATCAAACATGGATAGCTGGGAAATCGCTTACTGTATGAGGATTGAAATGGGCAAACCATGGGAAAATATGAGGACATATGATGGGAAAAGGCATGGACATTGTAATTGGAGATTTTCCATGTGATTTGATGGGATTAGCACCAACAACTATCTTAGGGATATATGGGGATCTATGGGTAATAACCAACAAAACATGGAAGAGTCATACGAAAAGCATTGGATAACAAGCGATGGAATGGTGATATAATGGATATAGCTGATATATATATATATAATCAACAATATGATACTTGAGATACTAATACCCCCCCGTTGTGGCTATTTTGGTTGGTATTTACAGTAATGGGTATACCATGCGATATAACCAACTTGATATGACATTTGTTTTTGTTCGAAAACACATTGTTTGTGCCAAAGACAAGTTTGCCCTTATCATTACTCATATGTTTCAAGGAAATATCAATGTCTTCTTTGGACAAGGCCCATTGTTGTGAGAAAAGACATGTTTCCTTGCAGGCAAGAGGTCACTTTTTGGTGGTGAAAAGTGTTTTTCTTTAGTAGACCTGACCCCCCGACAATCAAACATGGTAACAAGGAAATTGAATGGTTTGTTAAATTGTTATATGGATTTATTTTGATGAGGAAAAACACAATTTAGATCAAGTCATACTCTAGGAACTCGGGCAAAATTCGTAGTGACGCGTAAATAGCGTCATTAGATTCGTTCCACGTCTCTATCATTTTTATCCACGTGTTTTTTTAATCATAAAGCACATGTTCTTTGTGTTTCAACTACGTCATGTCAAGTCATGTCTCTTATTTTCAGCATGTCTCAACCATGGAAAAGGAATCATGTTGGTGCATTTATAAAACATAATACGTGTCCTTTCCTTGTATATTTATATACATATATTTACATAATTACTCTTGTATCCATCCATCTGTCCGTTGATCCGTCCGTCCATCGATCAATATTTTGGGATAGTCATCAATCCATTAAAAGCGGGATTTATACAACTGTTCTGGTCGCATTACCATGGGACGGATGACTATAGACTATACCGATTGTATCCACCTTAATCATTTAACTTGATCATATCTACACACACACACATATAATGTATATATATATATAAGTTATATTTATTTATTTATTTATTTATACGTATATGCATTATACACATCTAAGTATGGTACTTATAGTGATATATATATACATACACATTATACACCTTTCTAGTAGATATCTATATTGAGGTTTAAGTTGGGTTATAAACCTCACTATAGATATCTACTCGAAACCCAATTGCAGGAGGATGGCGCCACGGTGCTCCCCAGTTCCCTTCCAGCTGCGTTGGAAGCACTGGAGGCGAATTTAACCGATAAGACATGGATGGTTTAAGCGTCAGAAATGGTGATTTCACGAAGAAAAGTCGGGATTTTATCGATTTTATCCACACAATCTGGAATCTTCACAGATTTATGTGGAAAACCTGGGGTTTTGTTAGGAAGACGATCTACACATGGTGGGATTTCAACAAACACCCCCCAGAAACCATGGTTTAGTAGGGGATGAAACCACATATGACTGGGACCATAGAACGGGGGTGTTTCAGATTACGCGATGGTGTTGTATATGGGATCCATTTGCACATGTTTAGGGATAAAAAACAGTTCGTGGAAAATACATGAACATTCCCATCGATACCATACTGTGAATTTTCTGTGACCCTAATTGGGAATATGTTAGAGATCTTTGGTAAATATATGATAACACATATAAGTACATGAAACTGTCCTGGAAATTATAAAGATCATCCCATACATTGGGTAGAAAGAAACATGTGGGTCTGTCTGAAAATGCAATGAACATCCATGAATGGTTATTTATGATGATACTCCCTTGGGGGGTTACCCAATTTTCAGACAAACCAGTGTAGATAGCTCTTTCCTATTGAAATTGGGAAACGAATCAACAACTTGCCATTGTATGCTGCTTGAATCCCATGAAATCCCAAGGGGAAAGTGCTGGAATCTCAAATCTCCATCCTTCGAACGAATCCCCATCTTCCATCATCTTCGCTGGCGAGATCATCAGTCCATTTTTCGTGAAAAATCATCTTTAACCCATACTTTTCACATCTTTTCACATCTTTTCACATCTTTTCACTAGATTCACTAGATCAAATCAGATTTAACTCCCCATGTGTTTCGCCGCATAAGTTTCCACCACCACTTCTTCAGCGAGAAAATCCCCACCCTCATTGCGACGCCCCAGGCAGATGAGTATCTGACAAACAAGTTGGGCAAGCGATTCATCCGTTCCTGGGGCTGAACTTGAAGAGATTTCATGGGAAGTGATTTGTTACGTGTTTTATGTTTTGTACGTTCTTCATGTGTTTATTCAATTTATATACAAGCAATGTATACATACAGGTAAATGCTTCCCATTGGTGGGAGGGGCAATTGGTGATGTTACTTCTTTTATTAAGCCAATGTGTACAGCTAGTCAACGAATATTCATGGGGATAGTCAATGATATTTCACTTGGTTGCGGGACAACTCCCCCCCCTTTGGGACGGCCAGCCCGAGGCTGGTATGTCGACATCAAAAAGGCGGAGTTGAAGTTTTTGGACGAGAAACTTCACCCACCACAAGAGGCTTCAGTGGCAGCCACTGAACCTTCAGAGACCGAGATCGGCAAAGCCTGGAGAGAGTTGTACATGGAGTTCATTTGAGTCAGTGAGCCAAAAGGGGCTAAGATGGCCAGCATCTGTTTGTTTTTGTTGAATCTCGGACCTTGACCTAAAATGCTATATAATATTATAATCATATGATTCATGTATCCAGAATATCCAAAAACTTCACATCGGCTGTTGTTTGATTTGTTTGCTTTTGAGAAGCTGCCTCATCCTCCCTGGAGGGGAAGCCGCTTCTTGCGCCCGCCAAAGTTAAGCGGGATCTCTGGGATTTGTGGCTGCATGGTGGTATCAGACAAATGCCCAAATTGTGAAAACAAATGTATTTCAGAATCCATGTTCAGCCTCAATGATATTTGGGTTCAGTCCATGTTGAACAAAAGATGGATATGCTTCTATCATCTTCTATCCTTTAAAAAAGACACATTAAAATCCCCGGTCCCCCAAGGACACTTGACATTGTCCGGCTTGATAGCATCAAGATGCAGCTCTGGTGGTCGACCTGTACAGATATCATTTTTGAGCACCGAGGATCTGTCTTTTGCATGGGCCTATAGCAACTGCTCCCAGTTGCCTTGCGCGGCTACCTGGTACCTGAAAAAATGCAGTGGTTTATCATCATTGAATGGCAATGCCTAGTTGTGTTCCATTGTCAGACAAGATCATGTGGTTAATAAGCCTTGCATGTTTGACTCATAGATTTATAGGAGACTCCAGGTTTTTTCGCGGTATGTCGAGAATCAGGAGATTTATCAACAATTTGTATGGCAATGTTTAATGAGGAAAATTATGCAAAAAAACAGTGAATATTGGGGGTATCCGACATGGATCAACCACAGTTCCCGTTTCTTGATGTGGTCCCATGCATTAGCCAACAATCATCACTTGACGGACTCGGCGGATGCCTGATCACGTCAGACGGTTTTATGGGCAGTGGTCAAAATATCAATGGCTGCTGAGCTGCTGACCTGATCCCTCTGGCATTCCGTTTCTGTGACCACTTTCCTTAGATGAATTGGCTTATTTTCTCGGGAAATCTTCTACTTGGGTAATCTCTGGGGATTTTTTTTTGGAGGGTTCTTAAGCAAATCCTACCTCTGCAGTAGATTTGCATGGCTGTGCGAACACATAGGTGTGTTGCGGAAACCATCCAATTATAGTGTGTAAATAAAGTCACATCATTTCGTAGTTGGCATAGTCTAGTTTCTGAGTCGAGCTGTGTCATCCAGACACAGCTCTCATTGCATCCTTTTGAGTCGTCATAGAAATCGTTGCGATGGAGACGGTGCGCATCCCCGCAGCTGCTGGCACCTGTGCCTGAAGGAAAAGATGAATATGATGAGTGTCTTTTATTGAACATGTACTTACTAATGACGAATACGTGTCCTAATTGCAGCTATAGAGAAATTTCATGAAATTCCGAGTTTCACTTTTGAGATTTTCAAAAGGCCCCCCATCGACAGGAAGCCATGTCGTACAACAGAGAAGCAAACATCCTGTCGGAGACTTTGAGGGCACACTGCAGGGGGAAACCAAGCACACCATGAACATGGCAAAATGTAGCCCATGGCGGGAACAAAACTTATAAATAGTATGTAATGCCATGTGCCTTGCTGGATCTGTGAGCTTATCTCGGTGATAAGAAACAGGAATTGCGATTCGGCGAAGTCATCATTTCCTTTTCAATCCAGGATAGTTGACAGTATCCAACATCGCTTCAGCATGGACTCTCCGCGGCCCGATGGCGCAATGCGGCTCACTAAGCGCCGAGCTTAGTGAGACCTGGGAAGTCTGGGTGAAGTTTGTTTTGGGATGTTCTGGTGGGTTATCTCGCTTCCTATACTACTTATATGATATGGCAAAAGGTATGTTTGTTCATTGAAAACCAGGTCTTCTATGGTCTTCTATCCATTTTTTTTGGGGTAAGTCCCCATGACTACTTGGCTAAGCCAGAGAATATGGGTTTGTCTGATAGTGGTGTATCCGAAAAGGTAGATGGATGTGAAAATCAGTTTCCCCATCTAATGGCCAATTTATGGGGGGTAAATAATCCAATATCAGATACACCAGGTCAAGATGGGTCAAGACCTATATTTTTAAAGGGGTTGGGAGATAAATGTGCTATTCATTTCTGAGTTCACAAGGGTACCAGGGCTGTGGCCCACCCATGTAGAAGGTCAATTCTCCTGTTGCGCGGCATAAGAGAGTGGCAAGATGTTTGCAAGCAGACCATGGAAGGTGATGCATATAAATATAAGTCTATGTAAATCTCTATGTATGTATATATAGATGGTATATTATCACAAGATTTTGAGTTAGATCAATTCACTAATATGTCATTTGGAAAGAAGGATAGGCACGAGCTAACAACCAGTGTAGATGATTCATTTTTTTCATGGTTTCCTCTCGATCCTTTAAACTCTCACATGGAGCCTGTAATACTGGGGTCCCCAAGATTCCAAACGATGAGTATTGCTTTTTGTTGTTGAGCGTTGTTGGATCGGATGAACTTTCCTCGTTGTTTGCTACGTGTTTTATCCGGGTCAAATCACCCCCTTTTGGTGAAGTTGAAATCATGACTGTCCATGTCGACGCATGTCAGGCCGGAGACTGTTGCAGTGATGCCAGACGATGTGGAATTTGATGAGGCCTGGGTTGGAGTGGGGCAAGGATAGAAGGACTACTTGGGGGTGCAGTTGGGGTAGTTTACCCTCTGGCAAACTAACATAGCTATTGAAAATTGCCATTTATAGTGGATTTACCCATTAAACACAGTGATTTTCCATAGCTATGTTAGTTTACCAGAGGGTAATTGGTATGACTATGGTAACATCCACCGTAACTTGGGATATGACATGATGTGAGACTTGAACCTATGCTTACATATCCATTCACAGGTGGAACTGCACCCCCAAGTACAGAACCATCCTCCGTGGGTATGAAGATTTTAAAAAAATCATGAAAACTGACAAATTGACCCAGCAAATCCTGAATACCTCCCAAAAAGTTGGCCATTGTCCCATCGAATCCTAGGAAATATCACTATATACCATAAAATATGGGTGGTAAATCCATGACATTAGGCTTCCTTCACCAATGGATTTAATCGTCAAATTTCCCCACAAAACCAATCCAGTGCTGGTTGTTATCCCCCGGCGACGAGGGAACTGTTCCGAGCTATGGGTCCTATTCAAACGTTTCCTAAGCACATCGTAAATCCATTGAAATCCTTACAAAGTTATAAGTTGGTTGATAAACCCCATTAACTAGTTCGATATATCTATCACAAACCATAGCTATTGGAGTTATGTGGCCAGTAACTTGGCTACCATAAATCAGCTATCCCATTGAATGCTCATGGTTTTGCTGCTTAAACATGGTTAAACTACTATTTTTCGATGGTTCTAACGGGGCACCACCGTTGTTTCAACGTGTCATGGCACCACCGTTGCGGCCACGGCCACGGCCACGGAGGAAGCGCATGCGGCGCTGCTGAGCGGCTTCCGCGTGTTTCGCTATCGCCTTGAGGAGACGGTGAGCATTGTGCAGTGGCCCGTTTCAGGTGGGCAAGATGGATACCTGACCCGAATCCTAACATAGGTAGTATACGTCTTTTTTTTACATAATTACATCCATATTTTCTTTAATTATATATATTTATATATAAATATTTAATATGATTGAATATGTACATATTCACGCATCTTTACTTTTATGTCTGATATGTTTGCTTATGCACAATTAGATGCGCGGCTATCGATAGGTTTCAATTGCATACACATGATGGATCCGAGGACTAGTCGCTGTAAAAACCGCCAGTTGCTAACGTAATGCATAGGATCATTTTGGAGGATATCGTCAATGAAAAGTGACATATGGGTATGGGTCAATACCTATTAATACCATTTTTAGGGGGATGAACATCCATTTACCAGCTATTTTGATGTTCACCAGGGGTACAAGGTTTTGACACACTGCCATATAACCAACGAATAACTGCAAGAGCGATCTAGCTACATAAACAGGAGTTTACATGCGAAGACATGTATAATGCGGATCAAATCAAGACATATATAAACTGGTATTAGTATATATATATAACTACACATAAGAATCATAATAGGGATCAACAAAAGCATCAAAATTTGGTGATTTGCAAAACGGCTTGAACAGTTGCAGGGTGCGTAGAGTAAGCATCTCTTGGGCTTGGAGCACCCCTTGAACATTGGGACTAACATTGTAGTTTTTGGAAACATCACAGGACGCCTTTTCATTGCCAAAAGTGTCTGCAATTGTCTTGGTGGGTGCATTCACATCGTGGATGATGATCACAATATGGGTCTCTCTAAAAATGCTGTCCGAAGTCCACCAGTTAATCATGGTATTCCTTATTGATTTTATAATAAAAGCTATGATTTGTTTGATGTGTTTTCCAATTTGAGACACACCCAATGTTATATCCAGTTGCTTAAACATCCCATGAAATATCTCTACTCTATATATCTCAGTAAGTTATTCCCATGAATATCCCCACTGTATCCTACTATTATATTGGTGCTTTACCAATGATTTTCCCATATTTGGGTTTGTAAATCACCACTATTGCAAAAACATGGAAAACCCATGAGAAAGTCATTTCACCATTGCAATTCACATAATGTTCCCAGTTTTGGTTTGCCCATATTACCATATCATTAACCATAATCAACGATCATCAACCATCATTCACCGTCATTCACCATTACAATCCCATTACAATCCCATTACAATCCCATTATCATCCGATGATTGTCCCATGATATTCCTCATATTTTATCCCATCTGTTCGTTTTTTGGAGCGGCCACTCAGCTCCTTCCCCTTGCCAGGCGACGCTGGTGGACCGCCCGTGCCGGTGGACCCTCCGCTGCGCGGCTTGCTGCGGGGCTACATGCTGTCGAGACAGCGGCGGCAGTGCCATGGCGCTATGGGCCATGGGCTGGGTAAATATCGTTTATACTGGCTATATGTCATTAGGACATTGATGATAATTGGATACAATTGGCAAATTGGGATTACAATTAACTACCCAACACATGGATTAACACATTGGGAATTGGGATAGTTTGTGGCGTGATAACCAACCCAGATGATCTTAATGGGATTCATTGCGTCTGATTGGATTTTGGGGTACCAAAACCCACATGAGAATGGAGGTTTGTCGGATATTGGGCATATCGATCAGTTCGTATCTTTGCATCAGTTCTTGACTTATTTCTTGACCCTAGGTCTTTCCAAAAAATATCAGGCAAGAAACCAAAGTTGCATCTTCGGTAAATACCTGTCTATAAATATTAATATGGTTCTGAACCAGCTACTAGCTGGGATGGATTTTTCACATGGTTAATTTGTTTACACAGTTGTTTGGATAATACCAATGGGTTTCAACTATGGTTACTGTATACATATGATGGTTATACATATGATGGTTATTGCCAAGTCATATGAACCCCCCAAGTCATTTTTAAGGCACTCTGTCTGACGTTTTTCCCCATCTCTGGCCAGTTGGTTTGTTAAGGTTCCTGCACCAGAGCCTCGTTGCTGCAGGGGTGGAGTTGGTGGTGACGTGCCGTGGCAACCCGATGGGTTTTTTGATGAATTCCTTGCGATGGGGATGATACCCTCTGGTAAACTAACAGTTTGCTATTGAAAATGGCCCATAGAAATAGTGGATTTACCCAGCTATAAAATGGTGGATCTTTCCATAGTTATGTTAAATTACCAGAGGGTAAAGGCATGTTGGCTTGCTGGGGGCTTTGCGCCGTGTTGGCTACCCTTCTGTAAAAAGACATCCGAGGTGTGCCCTTTTTTCCCCATTCATTTAGGTTTGCTTTGGGGCTTGCGCGTGTCTCAGAGCTGGTTGACAAAGGCACAACAGAAAGCACATTGCAATCATATTCTCAAAACACAGTTTCAGTTGTCATTCGTTCCCTCCAACCGCCCAAGATCTGTGTTCGAACCAATCAAATGGTTTTCAACTGTCATGTGTTCCTTTCACTCACAAATCAAAAAATCTCAAAATCACTCACTGTCCTCGACCTTTTAAAGATGGTATTCTATTTTTTCCAGTGGGAAATCGGAAATCTATAGGGGATCGGTTTCTTTTGGGATTTTTGGGGGTTCCTCAGGCGCAGATCCAGGTCGGATTTCTGGATGGGATGGAGTTCCATGATGTTCCATGGGATGGACCATCCACCCATTGTGCCAAAAAAAATATCCATGACATTCCAGTGACTGTGTTGCTTTAAAAAAAAACGCATCTTATGGTGTCTTGGTGGGTGAAATGTCAGTAAACAACTATTAGTAACTAAGATCCTATAGTAATATTCTGATCATATTCCTATTAGTGATATTACTATTAAATAGTTGTGGATAATATTGCTATTAGTAAACTATAGTAATATTCCTATTAGTGTCTATATTCTGATCATATTCTGATCATGAATCCTAAACATTCCCCCTAATCCCTTTCATATTTCCATGTTTGGAACCATTGTCAAGCTGGCTTTTACATGCTTTTACCACCTTGTAATCTTCCACATTTATTGGTTACATCATTATTTTGCTGGCTTGAATATCTGACCATTATAGACCCATCACACATCACACATGAGGATACCATGGCTATACTGGGATAACTAACACTCATCTTTTTGGGTGTGTCTCCCACTAAGCCATGGCAACTTGACCCATAGGCCATCGGACTACGAAAACGTGCACTTCTTCCCCGCCTCCTACGCCACGTTGGCCCCGCTGTCCCCGCGCGCCACGTGGCGCCCGGTGGACGCGACGGCGACGCCGGGGCTCTTCGCGGAATGCCTGGAGGAGGTGAAGGGCGCCGTGGCAACGATGGGGGGATGGGGTTCTAGGAGGATCATCCCACTTACCATCTGTTTATGACTAACATAGCTATAGAATATCACCATTTTTAATAGGTAAACCATCTATTTCTATTCGCCATCTATACCATGGCTATGTTAGTCATAGAGGTGATTATCATGATTATCTGGTTGGTGGTTTGGAACATTTTTTTGGAACATGTTTTATTTTCCCCAACACTTGGGATGATGATCCAATCTGACTAATATTTTTCTGGGGGGTTGAAACCACCAACCAGTTATGATGATTACAATACAATGATAGTAATAGTAACTGTAACCATAATCATAACAATCATAACAACGACAATAGTGGAGGTTATCAAGATCCAAATGGGATAATCCATGATCCACTTACAGGGGACTTACTGTCGCTAAGGTTGTTTGTTAACCACTGACATTTTGTGTGGGACGATCCTCGAAGTTACTGTAAGCCCCCCCAACAATAGACAAAAATTATAGGAGGTTGGTATACTAATTGTATGAAAATGGCCATTTATAGTGAGTTTTCCCATTAAAAATGGTGATTTTCCATAGTTGTGTTAGTATATCAATATTTTATGTATTACTAATAGAAAAAAACCATAAGCTGGGGAAGTATCACAATTATTGATATTGATATGAACTAGAACCATAAGGTCAATGATTTTGTTTTGCTCTTTGAGAGTATTGACCACAATGAAACTCGTTTTAGCTGCGATACTTGTCCGGCCGTTTTTGTTGGGGGTTGCTTGTCGGTCCTGCGTGGAGGAGGTTCACCATATTCTTCACCTACCAACCACTGAATTAACGAACGACTCATTGGTATGCCCGACCCACAAGATTTTGTTTAAGCTCACCCCATCCAGAATTGATTTAATGATCCAATATGATCCATGGATTATGAGGTTTTTACCAACACAAGGCATCCGACAAACGACAAACCATGGGATGACTGACCTCTGGAAATTTCACGGTAAAAAGAAGCGATGCAGCGTTGAGGAGTTGACATAAGTTGATGTATTTGAATTCAATATTTGGGGTAGCTACCCAAATTCGATCATGCCCAGTGCGGTAATCTTTGCAGTGTAGCCATGTAGCTTTATTCATGTTTGGTTTGAGCCTTCTGCACCTGACACACTGCGACCTTCCTTCGAGTGCAGAAAAATCTTTTGTGGGCCCACGTCAACCTTGTCTTGGACCGCATTTCTAGAAGTTGCCAAACGCAGACGCATCAATAAGTTTTGGATCATTATCGTATGTTTTGTCTCCATGCGAAACGAGTTAAACACATAGTTGGGGATGTTTTTTTAATTGGCCAAATCTTTATTTTTGCAGTTTGAACATATGAATCAGGTTAGTCTATGTTAATCTAGTTTTGTCAATCAGCTTCATCCCCGTATCTGTCCATTTTTTGGGCGTTTGACCATTCGACTTGGGCGTGCCAAGGATGGGGTTGCCGCTACGTCGTTCTCAAAGACTACGTGAAGAGCGCCAAGGCTCGGCTGTACGGGTCGTTCCTGTGGTTCCGGGGGGTCAATGTTATTAGATGATACAGATGTATGAAACCACAGGTTAACATCATTGTGGCTTCATACATCTATAATGTTATAGTTATAGTTATGTTATTCAATGTTAAACAAATGAAGCCAACATCATTGTTGGATATTTGCTGGTATGTTTTTGGGATCTATGAGTTGTTTGTTGTGACAAAGCGTGATAAGCGTGACAAACCATTGTAGCATGTGGGATATGTTTACGGGAGTATCTCATATCCCACCAATACAAATTGTGAATTTTGCGCAATCAATGTATCTGAGTGTTCGCGATGTCTAGAGAGGCAAAACTGCCGGGGCTGATTTCCAGCTTTGTAGCTGAAAGGGTATGCGCTTGGAACTATCAAGCCAACACCGTGGTTAGTTTGTGACTAGGCCAGTTGGAATCCAAGTGCTTCCGTAGAAAGTTACTGTATTTGGCGGCTCCGCACATAGTTGACTGTTGTTTGGAAACATTCCATTGTTTTTTTTCCGGAAAACTTGGTGCTGGCCTAATGTGAACTGAATGTGACATCATCATCATCATCATCATCATCAACATCAACATCAACATCGACATTAACATCATCAACATTATCAACATCATCAACCCTAAAACTTTTAAACCCTAAAACCCTAAAACCCTAGACTCCTTGAAAACTCCCTTGAATATAAACTTCAACGAGGGTGGGGTTTTGATGATTCCCTAGAAACTCTGTTGAAACATCTTCGAGATTCCCTTGAATATAAAGCTTAATAGGGGTTTGGGAATTTGATGGTTCCCTAGAAACTCTTTTGAAACATCTTTGAGATTCCCTTGAGTATAAAGCTTAGTATGGATGTGAGAATTTTATGATTCCCTAGAAACTCTTTTGAAACATCTTTAAGATTCCCTTGAATTAATGTCCTTTCAATCCCTGTAAAGTCGTGTGTGGGCGAAAGAGGGGGTTTGCGCGTAAAGGTACCCTGACAGTTGCAGCAATCGCAGCCTTTCCCATGTCCCAGGCCCATGGCAGTCGCCGCTTGGTGGTGAAATGTCTGACCTGTTCTCAGAATGTGGCGGTTCTTATCTCAGACTTTAAACTTAGAGGGGTGATGTTCAAAATTCATCAAAATCCACAAGAATTCCTCCATATGATTCCATATGTATGTGTGTATATATAATTATATATACGTATATATATATATATATATGAACAAATGATAGGACATTTACATAGATTTACCCTGCCCAGTCCAAAGGATAGCGATTTATTTGCAGATGTTCTAGGCTTTGGGAGATGGAGATGTAGTGGAAAAAACATCATTGTTTTTCAGTTGATGCAAGTTTGGTCGATGGTGCCATTCTGATCACTATATATATATACATATACATATAGCCATTAGCCAATCACAATTTGCTGTTCAATACAATTGGGGTCTACAGTACAGTAGCATGGAAAGAAAGCAATTTTGCTGCTTACATCCCAGTTCTTTGTAGATGTTGCACCATTTTTAGAATGACTATCCTTAATTTCCGCATGTTCAAACGATTTTTGGTTGAACTTCCAATTTTCAAAGCATGAAATTACACCTCATTTTTTCAATTCATCTGAATTAACCCTTCTGTTCAGTATCGCACCCCATTGTTTTTGGTTGAGCTTCAGTCGGATTTTTTTTTTTTGAACCCCAATTTTCTCACCCTCAAATTGGTTGGTAAAACCAGCTTCGCCCCCCATGCTCAACCCTCACGGTTTTGATTACTAAAAAGTAATTTATTAACCATTGGACCATGACTGATATGTCCATTTAGCCCCATCTTAGACCTCCCCATGTTTCCTTTAATGGCCATTTAATGGCTATGTAACCATCAATCACCATCACTAATTATTCTTCCATGATCGTTCCACATAAAAATATTCCATATCTGGTTCTGAATGACGATATCCCTACAATATGTTAAACCATCATGACCATAATGATTAATGAACCTATATTTCACCACTCATAGTTTCATGATGGTTCATGAAATTCACTAATAGTTTCATTTTACCTCACCTTAGTGAAAATGGTTCAATATGGTCATGCTGGTTCATTATGGAGTGTTGTTTTTTCTCTTTCTCACCCCATAAAAGGTTGCCGTTTCGTTTCCTCACCATTAACCATTGCTAACCATTAAATTTACCATTAAGCACCATTAATCAACAATTAACCATCAAGCACTAGCCATTCTTAAGTCCCCATTGATGGTTGACAACTCAGGTGGCCGTTTCCATTGAGGTTTTATGCAGGTCCCTGTGGACGACGACCTGCCAGAGGTGGCCTGCGACTTTGTCAAAGCGCGCGGCGCGCGCTTTAACGAAGGCCGGCCTGGCTAAAAAAGCTGGTGAAAATCAGGGGGCGCATGGAAAACCCATCAATTGTTTTTTGGATATATGGGTATGGGTCAAAATATAATTGGATGGTTAATACTAAACTAGACTAACATCTGTGGTCCCACATCGGTCTTCCATTTTGACCCACATCCATATATATATATATAGGGATTATGATGGGAGTATAAGGCCAGCTTCGTGGGAAAATGATGCATCCTCTTGATGACTGAAATCCGATGTTGATTTGGGTCTGCACATTTGAATCATACTCAGCAACAACGAATAACTCAACCGCCTATGTCTTCAGTTTTGGAGATTTGAGCCCGCATGCAACTGGAATACCCCAAACAAGATAGAACAGTCATTTAATTACCACTATTTGATTGTATTCTTTTGCGGGGGTACTACATCCAAGAAAATCAGAAGCTTCTGGATTTGAAATTCACCAGCTGAAGTGGCAGGAGTGGTTTTCAAGGAGTATGTGGAACTGGTGCCCCTTAGCTGCAGCATGGGATGTCATTCCGTTATGGTTTTGATGCCACACCCTTATAGTTTTGGTCCATGATGTCAATCCCAGTAGAACCAGGAAGGCAGTTCTCATCCTGGCCACATGACTGCAACCCCCAAAAAGATACCACAATCTGTAATCAACAATGTAACCAGAACACAATCTATAAGACAGTGGTAAATTTATTTTCTATGTTTTGGTGGTTTACTTGCATATATATATATGCTACGTGGCATTCTGCAATTGCCATGGCCCACGGTGGTCTGGGAAACCACGAAGGTTTGTCCATGAAACTTCCAAACATACCAATCAAAATCGGTAAGGATCGTAGACAATGAATGTTCTTGTCTTTTTTCCTGACCCATAGGATCCATGTATGCTATATATGGTAACATGGATCCCATCAATATACCCCCAATGTTAGCATATATAGCATACATGGATCCTATGGGTGATGGCTTCCCATTTGTTCTTTTCATCTCACCCAACTCGGAAGTCCTTGTCGAAATGACTCGTTCCCCAAAGCGTTTTGAGGAGATACCCGGGCCGTGGTGATTTCACCACCAACGAATGGCGGCTCTGGTGCCTTGGATGGCGAACCAAAAAATTGGGTTTTCAAGTGCCATATGTTGATGATCAGAGGGTAGATATGTTAATCATATATGTTAGTATGATATATGTTAGATATATCATATATTAACATATCAGAGGGTAGATATATGTTAGTATCATTTAATATCAAATCTAATATCTACGTTTGAATTCATGTGATGCCTTGATGGTAAAAAAAATCTACGTATATATGTATGTGCTATTGAATTTTATTGTTAGATATTGACTATGTGTCACATTTTCTGAAAAAAAATCTACGTGGCATGATGATCCGGTGCAAAAAACAGAGGCTCGGGTGAGTTTTCGGGTGAGAAGGGGGAGTACTCAAGGAGCTACTGTATCCACTGAGAATTCCTTCCATCAAAATTCCGAGTGAGCGGAGTCCAAAGCAAAAACCATTGGCTGAAGATTTTGGCTCGTTATACTATCCAATATATTGGGGATTATCATAGGCCATGGGTTCTCATGGAATATCATGGGTTATCATGGATTATGATTCAATTATCATGGATTATCAAGCAACCCATGGACTGGGACTGCCTTCAGCTGCCACTGCTCAAGCGGCTCTGGATCCACTACGTAGAATCCCACAATTGTGTCAAGCTTGGCTACATCCATATTTTAGTACAGGTTGCGCTATACATGGATAAAACATGATAAAACAATAGATATACTACTAACCAGATAAACACCATTGTGTATGTCACTTTTTTGTGATTGTATACATACTAACCAGAAAAAACTACATAAAATGCAAGAGATAAGAGATTAACATCTAACAACAATCTTATCTTCTAATCCTAGCGATGCGCATATAAACATCTCAATGACAATATCTAAGATAATATTTAACTGGTTACTAATAGTGAGATCTACGATAAGTTCAACAATAATAATATCGATAATCATATCTAGATAATAGGATTATCAATATCATGACATATGATATCAATATCTAGATTATCATGAAATAACTTGTTAACAATATAGTAATAATCATAATGCCAATAAAACACATGCATTATTTCAAACAAAAAGCGATTGGCTGGTGACAGGTTCATGCACCAGAACTTGGTGGAGATTACGGCCAACTCCTTTCAGGTGGCACCCAGGGAGGGTCAGATCTTGGGGATGTTCACTGTGGCTAGTGATATGATATACATATATATATATTATGTATATATATATATGTATGTGTATATATATATACATATATGTATATATATATATATACATAGTGACATTTGATTATAAACTATCCTAGAAGCATCCTGATATTTCAACTGTAGCGATATTTGATTAGTGCCTTCCGGATGTTAATTTTGGGTTGGTGTATTACGATACGTCATTGATAATTGTGGTTACTAAAGTATCATATAGTTATCATATAATGTTAAAATCATAGACCAAATCAACACGCCCTTTTTTCCGGGGAGACCTAATTTGGACCGAGACTCAAGTGGAGTACCAGAGGTATGGATCAACATTGGGCTAGCAATGGATGGTTTGCTACTGAAAATGATCAACATTTGTGCTCCTAGGGCTTCATAGTTGGCTAAATCAGCCAACGTAAATAGGGGATGTAAATGGATGTAACCAGTCTGACACCGAGAATCACAAGGATTTATCATAGTATGCGGCTGTATAATCATAGGGATGCTGTTTTCGCAAGACATCGCACAGCCACACCAATGACATTAGACTAGTAAATAGAAACTCGTGAGCCCACATCAAAGCGAAAAGAACTCAGGAGTGCGCTGAAAAACCCCGGAAACTACTATTCAGCAGCTCTGGAAAAGAATCAACTGCCCAAAAGAGGAGCATTTGTCGAGGTGGAGCGGTTTACATAGCTGAAGGCCATGCCAGAAGTGGAATATATAATGATCCGCCGAGCCGCGTAAGTTGATTGCAAAGCTCACCAAAACATGTCCCAGCTTTGGCAGAGAAATCCACCGGATGTTCGGATTTCACAATGAGTCTACAAGCAAGCAAGACAGCAACCAAGACAGGGATACAACCAGCCTTTTTTTTTACGGAAGGTGTGTGCATACCAAGCTTGGTATTACCATGAAGATACATACACGGCTTGCTGATGTGTTTGTCAGCTGTTCTAAATCCAAACAATACCGTAATAGTCATTGCATGTTCCTGCGCACAAAATAGAGGCAACATCATTTTTAGACAAAATACGGCAAAACAAGGATTGATCCCAGAATTGGTCCCGAAAATGTGTTTCATTTCATCGGAAGAAACCCTGGTTTGAATCATTTTAATCGTAGATTTTCCCAATCAACCCGTGAATAACCCATCGAGCGAGGAGGTGGAGCAAGTTGAGCCGCTGCCGGAAGAGGTCTTGCAACAGGCGGGCCCCAGAGAAGTTATCAAGAAAAGCTTGGGATTTCTGGGGAAATTCACCATGAAAACATGGGATTTTTATAGGGAATTCACCATCAACATTTGAATTTTTTTAGGGAGTTTACCAATCATAATCAGGGCTGTTCCAACCTATTATAGGTCAGGTCTGTGTTCCTCTTTATTTTCCCAGAGTTACCCCCAATTTTGACAGAGTTTTCACCATTAAAATTGCATTTTTTTGGTAGTATATACCCCATTTTCAGTCGCACCCAGATCACAAATTGAAACGACTAATCCTCCATTGGGTGAAAGATTTTGGAGCTTCTCAATGCCCTTGAGACAACTCAGACTAGCCACCCCAAAAACAATATGATGCAGATTTCGAAAACAAGAAATCTGCAGGATTTGTGATACGGGCTGAAAATGGTTAATGGCCGTTTCAAGTTTCAATAGGGAAAATAAATGACAAACACAACATGTTTGGGGTACCCTATTTTCAGATGAACCGACGTATTTGATGCCATAATATGAAGGTTCAGCCCAAACATGGCCCAAGAATCCACGTAGCTGGAATGTGTAGCTATATCCCCTTTGGTATCCTTTGGTCGTATTTCCCCCAGCCAACATAGGTAACTAAACTCCCTTGGCTTGACGCTATGACTTCCTTTGACTTTTCCTTCTAGAAGCTTTTCTGTAGCAGCCTCTGGGAGCATGTAGGCATGGTGACCTTGGATTCTGTGGACCTGGCAGAGCTTGTCAACCTGCCTGGGCAGATCCAAAAGATTGCAAACAAGTCATTGCCCGAGACATTTGGCCATGCCCCACAGTTTAGCCGCTTAGCCCAGAGTCATGCCCCGTTTCTTGTTTTCTACGGGGTTCTTACCACAACCAGCTCACACAGTGATGCCCCCTACCTCGCTAAGTTTGTAAACATACGTAACTCGACTAACTATAGGTTCTGATATATCGATATATCGAACTAGCGAGGTTTAACATGGTTTAACCCACCACGCATTTCACCGAAATAGGGATACCACCTGGTAGCTACGAGCCCTTGCTGGGGATAGGTGAAAGAGATGGCCAAGCAGATCCAAAGTCCATACTTCACCATCGACCTGGCCGAAACGGACTCAGGACCTTAGCTATCGCCGCAACAGAGCGATAGCTCCGAATTGGAGAGTTTCTGTGGGACTGCCATCCATGGGGGTTCCATGGCAAAATGGATGGTTTATGATGGTTTATAAATGTTTATACATGTTTATTTCCTGGAAATTCCATGAAAGAATGGATGATAACATATGATAACTAGGGGCAGCCTTATTTCAGGAAACCTCCTCAAATCATGAATAACCAACGGATGTTGGGGTTAACGGTAAGGGCTTGTTCAAAGCGACTGGTTGAACTACTTCCGTTTTGATTTAATCATATATCATATATATATATGGATATATATGGATATATATATATATATTATATGGAGTTATATGGATATATATATATATATCCACACATATATACATATATTCCTGTGAAATCGTTACTGAGGACTGATCAAATCATGCTGGCCAAAATAAATCAGTTGCTTTCCCCTAACGTTGTTGGAATAGTTCTTCAAATATCAAGAGATATCAAGTAATATCAAGTCTCCAAATATTCTTCCGGCGTCTTTTGTGGCCGTTCTGCCCTGGTCGTTTTGGTCAGAACGACCAGCTCGTGTGGGTTTTCCAAGCCTCCAGGAGCTTGGATCATCCTGGAAGCAGGGGATGGCGGTGTTTCTGGCTTGGCCACGTCGCAGGAGCTCCACGAACTGCTTCACTGTGGCGATTCCCTGGGGATAATCCTTTGGGCATTCTTCGGGCATTCTTCGTAGATTTTTCGTAGGCGATCCCCGATTTTCATCCCGGGGCTCGTGATGTTCGTGTCCTGCCGGTGAAACCGCTATTCATTGCCAATCTTACGCTGCAAAAATCTGCAAAATAGATTCAAGATTCTGAGCTGGTGAACGTAGCTCCGAAAATCACATCACATCGCAACGGGTTTTCTTGGATTCAACGATCCCCATCTACGGTTGACCCAGATTTATGGGGATTATTGGGGAATCTTTAATCATTAACTACAATAATCCCCGATTCAATGTTGGATGCCATGATTCTGAACATGTTGCGAAAAAAACAGGCTGTTAACCATCATTTGTAGTGCTTTTAGCCTTTTAGCCGTCAATAATATTAGGATACAGTTGATACATGATGATTAGCTGATGATTTTGCGGAGATTATACTCTCCAAAATCAATTCAGGATTTTCACAATCCATGAACTGGGAATCCAGTTCTTAAACAACCAGTACTATAGGGAGTGACGTTGCGAGCTTTGCACACCGCTCATTTGACCCACAAAAATATGGTGCTAAAAAAAATCTGCAAAGACGGAGATAATGATTGAATTGATTTACAGTAGTCAAACAACTGGTGAGTGTTGAACATATTTAAGTAGTCAAACAACTGGTGAGTGTTGAACATATTTAAGTGTCTTGCCATGTTTATGGAAAAACAACTTGTTTTGCAGGGAACGGTGTCAAACCTTCCAAAAGAAGTTAAAAGAAGTAATAATTTTCCTGTGCAAGTTGGGGATGAGTTCTTGCCTGGTAAGCCGTAAGTATGCAATGTTTTAGACATTTCACGAAAAACAGCAGGTTTCCAAACGGTACCTGTTTCGGTGGACAACTGCACAAAAATTACGGTTTTCGTTTTTTTTTCTCGGAAATTTAGTGGAATTGTGTCATGTGCATGTTAAACTTGCATCCTGTCGATTTCCAGTGTTCATTCTCGAAACATGGGTTGAAGGACTCTTGATACTTGCACCAACCGGTTTTAGGCCCCAAAGCCTTTTTTGGTGGTATTTCAAGTTGGCTGGCAGACATGGCAATGGAAAATCCTGGTTTGTCAGTTTGATCATTTTCCCAGTCAATGACAATTTTGCTGGATCTGGTGGTTAGCCATGTGTCAAAAAGCTCAAGGTCGATGGGAATAAAACCACGAATTGCTCATGACGAATGCGAAGGATCCGCAAGACCATTGGAAATATCTGTACCAATATTTCCAAGACACTTGAAAAACGTATCAATAATAATCAATACATATACATATACATATATACATATATACATATATACATATATACATATATACATATATACATATATACATATATACATATATACATATATACATATATACATATATACATATATACATATATACATAAATACACATATAATCACATATATATATACATATACATATATATATATATATACATATACATATATACATATATACATATATACATATATACATATATACATATATACATATATATATAGATATACATATATACATATATACATATATACATATATACATATATACATATATACATATATACATATATACATATATACATATATACATATATATATACATATATACCTATATACATATACATACATATATACACATATACATATATACATACATACACATATATACATATATACATATATACATATATACATATATACATATATACATATATACATATATACATATATACATATATACATATATACACATATACATATAATATATACATATATACATATATACATATATACATATATACATATATACATATATACATATATACATATATACATATATACATATGTACATATATACATATATACATATATACATATATACATATATACATATGTACATATATACATATATACATATATACATATATACATATATACATATATACATATATACATATATACATATATACATATACATATATACATATATACATATATAGATATATACGTATATACATATATACATATATAGAGATATATAAATATATACATATACACATATATCTATATATATACATACATATATACATATATACATATATACATATATACATATATAGATATATAGATATATACATATATACATATATATATACATAGATACATAGGTACATAGATACATATATACATATATACATATATGGATATATAGATACATATATATATATATATAGATACATAGATACATATAGATACATAGATACATAGGTACATAGATACATAGATACATAGGTACATAGATACATATAGATACATAGATACATAGGTACATAGATACATAGATACATAGATACATAGATACATAGATACATAGATACATAGATACAGACATACAGACAGAGACAGACAGACAAACAGAGACAGACAGACAGACAAACAGAGACAGACAGACTGACTGACTGACTGACTGACCGACTGGCTGGCTGGCTGGCTGGCATGCTTGCATGCTGGCATGCTTGCATGCTGGCATGCTTACATATATTTACATAATTACATACTTACATACATACATATTTACATATTTACATATTTACATACTTACATACATATTACTTACTTACTTACTTACTTACATACTTACATACTTACATACTTACATACTTACATACTTACATACTTATATACTTACATACTTACATACTTACATACTTACATACTTACTTATATATTTACATACTTATATACATACATACTTACTTACAAACATACAGACATACAGACAAACACACAAACACACAGACACACAAACACACAAACACACAGACACAGACACAGACA